AAGTGGTTTTCTAACAACCCTCAAGTCCTTGCCCAACTCAGTTACACCCTGTGACATCACTCTATTTCCCTCAAAATACTCACTGCTCTCTATACCTGCTAGTTGCTTATTTACTTGCTCTGCCCATCCCTGTCTCTCCTCCTAGCCTGCACTACACTACAGACTCCATGAAAAAACAGACCTTGTCACCTCTGGTAACTTATCCTCCAGTGCATCCACGGTGCCTAACACGTAGTGGGGGGGGGGGGTCAATGAAAGCTTCTTAAATGAAGTACAGCTAGTGTTAAATGAGCTTAGTGAACCTGCCACACCATTAACAGTTACGTATTCATGTGCATTTCCCCTTGCCTGGGAGAACTCTCTGAGGCTTCATCCATTTTTCTGTCCTTACTATATGAGCACATGTCTTAAACACATAGCAGTTGTTCCATAAAGAACTGATGAAACAAATAAGTCAAAGTTAAAAACACATATACTTAGCATATTCCTATTTGTACGGCGTGAGAAGTACAAAGATATTAACTCTCCATTTGATGAAGAACATTTACAAATACAACTTTGGAAAGGAAATGAAAAAATGCTCCCTGACAAAAAGCTTCCTATACCACAATTATATTAGTGGCCTAAGAGAAACTTTTTCTACTCAAGTCCACCTCACTTCCACTTTATTTAGATTATAAAGTGGAAATAAAGTAGCTTGCAGACAGAAGTGAATGAGTTCATGTTAAAGTCTTTTGCAGACAGACCCAGGTTTCAACCAGACAAAAGGTATTTTTAATACAATTGCTTATAATATGGTTGTATCTTTATTGGACACATTCATCACTTACTGATATCTCAGTCGTGTATAGGATGAATCACCATGAATTGAAGGGAAGAGTTCTTCATAAATCTAAAAAATAAAGAAATGAGAGCCTGCTAAATGTGGTATAGCAGATCTACTTCCGTTTTTAATTATGGGGTTTAGTTCTATGTTGTGCCCTAAAGCGAACACATGAGCAGCAGCAAAGAGAATAAATGGTTCTGTTTTAAAAAGAAAATCTGTCGTAATTTTTGAAAGCTGAAGCTTACATAAAACAGAGATAAGATAATAAAAGTCAAAAATAATATTGTACCAAATCGGTCACAAACAGGGGCTAAAATATGCAGCTTAGGAAATAAGATTTTAAAAACTGACATTAGCTTCTGTTAATGAGGATCAAAAAAGAAGTGGGATCTTAAATTACTCATTACGGATTGGCAGGACCCGACTAGAAAGAGACAAAGAGAAAAGGTATTCAAAAAAGACCAATGGCACAAAAAAATGTACAGAGTGTTAGCAGAAAAACGAGCTGGGCACACTTTCATTATAAGCAAAAAATGAAAGAAAGGGTCTAATGAACAGAAAAGGGCCAGATAATGGAAGGCCTTGGACTCTGGATCTAGTTCTTCAGGAAACAGAGAAACATTTTAAGATCCATTATCAAGTAAGATGACATAATACAGGAAATTCCGTATTTTAGGAAAATTAGCCGGTGTGTATGATTGATTAGGTAAGATACAGAAAGCAAGGAAATGAAAAGGAAGAGTATTTAGCAGACCACTTCCCCTTTCGACTTTGCTGGTTCAACTTTGAGACTAAATTCCTTTGGTCTCAGATGTACTTTATAATGACGTGACATGAATTCATTAGTCCTTATCTAAGAAACCAAGGCTTAAAACTCTACATGTTTGATTCCTTCCTTTACTTCTTGAACAGTCTGTTACCAATTCCTGATTATTTTTCTTTCCCTCAAAATGCCTTGCAAATGTATCATTCCCTTTCAGTACCTTAAAGCAGGGCCTTTAAGCCAACCTTACATTTGGGTTTCTTTGTTTCTCTGCCTCCAGTCTTTCCTTCCTTCATCTCAACCTAAACATTACTGCCAGATTAATTACCCCTTGCTCAGAAATCTGGGAAGGCTTCTTCTTGCCTGAAAAAACAAAAACCTGAATGCCTTAAGGGGCAGTGGAGGGCGCCAGCAAGCTGCCCCGACATCACTCACTGCTCGCCCCTATCTCAAAGCCCAGTTCAAATTCCACCTCCTTACAAATTCCTCTATCGTTAGTCTAGGCTACATTGGCTCTGCCCAACAAAAATATAATGCAAGCCGCAAATGTAATTGAAAATTTATTCACAGCCATGTTGAAAAGTTTTTGGGTGAAATTACTTTTAATGTATTTTATTTAACCCAATATATTCAAAATATCATTCCAGCACGTGATCACTGTTAATAAGTTATTAATGAGATATTTTTCATACCGTAGTCTTTTTCATACCAAGTCTTTGAAATCCAGTATGTATTTTATATTTACAGCACTTTTCAGTTCAATCTAATCACAATTTCAAGTGCTCAACAGCTACATGTAGCTCGTGGCTGTTCTAACAGCCCAGATCTAGACTCTAAAATCCATGCCTTCGAGTGTAGTGCACTGTGCTCTCCATTCCTTAAGGTGCAAGTTGGCACCATTCTATTCTAGTGTATGTGCTTTAGGCTTGACCTTTTTTTTATTATTTATTTATTTTTGAGAATGAGAGAGACAAAGAAACAGAGCGCAAGTGGGGGAGGGGCAGAAAGAGGGAGACATCAAAAGCAGGCTCCAGACTCTGGGCTGTCAATACAGAGCCTGATGCGGGGCTCAAACTCACCAACTGTGAGATCATGACCTAAGCTGAAGTTGGAGGCTTAACTGACTGAGCTCCCAGGTGCCTGCACTGTTAGGCTTGATTTTAATAGTATCACCAACCATTTAGTCTCCTGGACCAAACCTCGGGAGTCACCCTCCCTCGACCAAACTGCTGCCACCTGTTGAATCCTATTCAGAAAGGTCACTCTGGGCACCTAGGTGGCTCAGTTGGTTAAGCATCCAACTCTTGATTTTGTCTCATCAAACCCCATATCCGAGCAAATAGCATGGAGCCTACTTGGGATTCTGTCTCCCTCTGCTTCTCCCCCCAACACATGGGCTCTCCCCCTTTCTCAAAATACACGTTAAAGAAAATGGTCTCTCTCACATCCTTTACTATCCTACTTCAACTGAGGCACACATTACCTTACCTGAATGACTGCAATTTCCTCTTATCTAGTTTTCCTATTCCAAGTTGAATCTCTATACAGCTGTCAGAGACCACCCTAAAAAAAAAAAATACACTCATGCTCTTTCCTTGTGCAAAGTATGTGCACTGGCTCCCTTCTAACTACTGAATAAAGCCTGAACCCCTTAACTGGAAACCAAGGTCCTTCACAAGCCGCTCTCAATCTCGCTCTTCCTTCACCAACCACCCTTACAGTGCCTGCTCAAGCACATGTAACTTCCCACTTTCCGCAGGCCAACACTTCTCCAGTCTGTGTCCAGGAACGGTCTCATCCTGAGCCTGGTAAATTCCTTTCGACCCTCATGACTCAGCTCAAATAGTTATTCCTTAAAGAAGCTTTCTCGGTGGCCTCCGGCAGTTTATTTTCATTTAGCACAAACTGGGCACCCAGAATATTTGTTGAATGGATGCTGAATGTATAGGCGGAAAGCAAAAGTGATCATCTTCCTATCGCCAATATCAAGCACAGCACTCTAACCAGATCATTAACTCCTTCCGTGAGTCTGACGGATACTCTACATCTCAACTGTCAATCACAGTTACTTGCTCTCTCAATAACGACCTTGCACGTTGATGGCAATCAAAACAAACTATGCAAAATCCAGGAAAAGGAGGGAATCTGGGTTGGCCCTTGAACTCACACAGTACAAGTAAGTCTCTTCCTGGTTAGCCCAGAAAGAGAAGCGGCTTCGTAAAAAAATAAAATAAAATAAAATCACAGGGGTTGTAAAATTAAAAACTGGGGGATGGGTAATTGATAACTCAAGCTTCTGCTGGTGGCAGTAGGCCAGACTTGCTGGTGTTAAGGCTGGTGTGACCTCCTGTATACTAAAAAGCATGTAAAACAGTGATGGTGGAAGGCTCGAGGGAAAAAGGGGACTTGGGGAGGTGGGGGGCTGGGGAGCGCGAGGCGCGGAAGGCCAAGACAATCTGAATAAAACCTGGTAACATTTTGAAGGCCCCAGAGTCCAGCAACTAAAAAGGACGCCTACTTCGTGCCCAGTGCTTTGCAGTCTCGTGGCCTCAGAACCCGAGACGACGGGAAGACCCCCAGCGAGGAGACTAAGAACACGGTAACCACGAGGCCAAAGCTGGCGTCACCTTAACTCCTCCAACGCCGAGAAACAGAGGGCAGAGGAAAACAGCAGGGGGGGAGGGGGGGATGGAAGGAGCGCCTAGGAGTGAATCGTATTAGACCCACGGAGAAGTCACTCCTCTTTCCCTCGCTGAGCGCTTCTGCCAGGTCCGGCCAGGACAGGCGCAACCGAAACCCCAGGAGCACGTCGCCAGCAGTGGGAGACCCGGCCGGAGTTGGGAGCCAGGGTCTCCCCTGAGAGCCGAGGGCGCCCCCTCCCCCACCAAAGAGCTCACTCCTTTCCTCCGCCCTCACTTGCCTCGTCAGTCCTCCCCCAACGCCGTCCACTGCCCTTCCCAACCCCTAGTCGAATCCAGGTTCAAGAGCGAGAAAAGCTGGTGCTCGCTCAGCAGCACCCGTGACGATCAGCCAGCAGAAGGCCCCCCGATGGCGGCCGCCATTTTGAAACTGGAGCCGAGCCGCCGAGGCGGGGAAGGCCCAGGGCGATACCATCTCCGGGGGGGGGGGGAGGAGAGACGAAGCTGTGGGAAGGAGGTGGCGCTTACGCCAACAAGATTCGTCACCTTGCACCGAAGTTGTAGTTTCAAAAAATTGATAATGTGTGAAAGCTAAAATAAATACGAGAAGAGTCAAACGTCAAAAGGAAGAAGCTGTTTGGTTTCCCACCGCCCCCCCTTTCCTCGAGCGGGCGCGGCGAATGGCAGGTCCCTAGGCCGCAGCTTCCGCCGGCGCCGGTGGCTGGGCTCGCCGCTGCCCTTGGTCGTGGGGTCGTTTTTGGCACCGAGGCCGCAGGTGGGTCCCGGGTCCAGAACCGCCGAGGCGCCCCGTGGTGTAGGCGGGGAGGGTCCACCTCTAGCAGCGCCCTCGGCGGCGGTACGTGTAGGCGAGGGGTGGCCTGGGGCTTGCGAGCGGTGGATACGGGAAAGGGATACGGGGGTTTCTTCCCGGGGACGGTGGGGCTCACGTTTCGCGCCCGGCGGCTTTTGTAAAGGGTTAGTGGGAAGCTGTCATTATTGGAAAACGTCTTTAAGAGATCACCCGGTAATCACCCCCCTTGGTCGGACCGGAGAGGAAACAGGCCGGGGTCACACTCCCAGGCCGAAGGAGAGAAGCCGCTGCTTCTCTGCCAGCATCACAGATTCGTCCAGGTTTCAGCATTGCGTCTCCTCGTTGCTCAGGATTGGAAACCGCGTTCTCTTCCAAAATCGCAAGCCTTCCTGAGCTGACCGTTCCACACACACACACACACACACACACACACACACACAAAATCAGTTTAAAAAAATGTAATGTTGCATTTGTGCTTGGTTTCTAGGGTGTATATGTGATAAAGACACGTTTCCAGATCTCGGGGAGTTCAGTTTCTCCGTGCATCCTGCACTGCTTTTCATAGATTATAATGTCTGGTTCCACAAAATGTCGCTCTAAAGTGCTGTGGGGACCAATTAAAGAGGAGGATTTAACATTTGAAATACTATTCACGTATGTGTTTATAACGTCAATTGGCTTACATAAATGTACACCAAATTCAGTTTTCTTTTTAGAAGTTACACGAGAAAATTGGGGTGAAGAAAAGTTAAAAATAAGATAATCCTGAGTGAGGTCAGTCTGTTTTCCTCTATCTAGAGTTACCTTAACAGATAATAAAACATAAATAGCTTGGACCAGGGAGCCAGTCTGCCTGAAGATTAATCTCAGCTTTGCCACTTTCTGCATTTGTCACCTTACGCAAGTTGATTGTCCCTGGGTTTCCTCATGAAAAACATGTGCCTACTACCTCGGGGACATTAGTGCCTACACGCATAGCGTTGTGAAGATTACATGAGGTTAGTGATGATGAAAAGAAGTTAGAACCGTACCTGACAGTGCTATACAAGTCTGCCTTGTCTAGAGGTAGGCAAAAAATTTGGAACATATCAGTAACAAAGGACAGGTGATCAGTTATGTGATTCCTTGTGTCCGTAAGAGAAAAACCAATTCCTTTTTCTTAGGAATGACATAGCAAGTCCCAGTTCTAAATAAAAGTAGGATTTTTCTTGAATCTTCACATAAAGAAGACACTAATAAGTACAGTGTCCTCTTGGGCACCCATGTGGATGTCACTCTTCATCCAAACCTAGGCTTGTTCCATTGGAGCCTGTCACACAACCTCACTGCCCTTTGTCCATCGCGTAAAGCCCCCTATGGTCTTGGGCCCGTGACCAGAGCCTGTCTATACTCCACCTCCTATCCATTCTCAAAGGAATCATTCTAGCTCACTCTTAGGTCCATAAATCTTTGTCCCCCCTGGTCAGCCACTCACAGTGAAATACAGAGGACAAATTATGTTCAGTGCCACTGCTCCCAAAGTCCTTTAAATAGATTATACAAGTATAATATGAAATGCCTCTGGGACTAAGATTTGTCATTTACCTCTTGGCAATTAATCATGGTGGCTGAACCCAGTTTTGTATTTGGAGCATACAGAATCAGTCTTCACCTGTGGAGTGTACGTAAGAGACTCTTTGGAGCCAGGGCCTCAGGGGCTTGTCTCAGAATCTTCTCAGATTCTCAAAGTAGTGCCAGACAAAAGTACCTATTTGCCCTGTTGGAAGAATGCCAACAATAATGGCTTCTATAGCCCACGGGGGGGCCATGGGCTTATTTAAAACAGTCTCAGACTGAGTCAACAGGCATTTTTTTCATTGTTGGTTAAAATACAAACAGTAGGTGACTCTGCTGTGCTGAGAGTTAGGCTTCACCCCTTTCTCAGATAAGAACAGGTAACAGTACATGACGTCTTGATGTCTACAAAGACCTATATTGTCTAGTATTCGGCATTTTCATGCTTCCAAAGTTAGATTGTTTGATTAAGACATGTATTGTTATTGCCATACTTGACTGCTCAAGTTTATAAAACAATTAAGTGGCTAATTTGGTGGGTCCTTGGTCAGATTCACAAAAAGTGCTTCAAATAATGTTACTTCAAGAAGCCACAATGCTGAGAGAGCCACCATATTTTAGAAAATAAAGTTGCCCAAGAACTATGCATCAAATCAGCTAACGAAATCAGTTCTTTGAACTATAGGTTTTTCCAGCCCCACCCAGAAGGATGACCAAGGGGTCCCTTTTTTGATAAAGACTCCCCAGGTGTTTTAAAAATATTTTTTAGGGGCGCCTGGGTGGCTCAGTCAGTTAAGCGTCCAACTTCGGCTAGGTCATGATCTCATGGTTTGTGGGTTCGAGCCCTGCATCCAGCTCTGTGCTGACACCCAGCTCAGAGCCTGTGGCCTGTTTCGGATTCTGCGTCTCCCTCTCTCTCTGACCCTCCCCTGCTCATGCTGTCTCTCTCTCTCTCAGAAGTAAATAAATTTTTTTTTAAATTTTTTAATGTTTTTATTTACTTCTGAGAGAGAAGGAGACAGAGCATGAGCCAGGGAGAGGCAGAGAGAAAGTGGGAGACACAGAATCCAAAGCAGGCTCCAGTCTCCAAGCTGTTGGTAGTAATGTGTCTTAATAGTTTGTTTACTCCCCTGCCTTCTCAGCCACTGTACATGATTAGGCAGATGCATTGTGATTTCATCTTTAGGTACACATTTTTACAGAAAACTGACAACACAGCTATGTTTTTATGGAATCAATGCAAATTTATCTTCCATTTGGTAACTTCTACCTCTGTTCTTCCTCCTCTACCTTTTAGGAAATCCTAGGACTTAAAAATCCTTAAAGTACTATGAATATCAATTCAGGAAGAGAGGTATTGTGATCAAATAGAATATACAGCTTTGGAGCAAACCTGAGTTTGAATTCTAGCTGTGTACTTAATTTTAGGTTAAGGTGTTTTCTAATCTGTAAAATTAGGATAATAACAGGTATTTCATGTTACATATAGTAGTATATGATGGCTCTGGTACCTAGTAGTCACTCTCTGGAAGTAAATTCCCTTCTTTCCATTATTTTGTAAAATCACTGATTGATAGAGATCTACCATGACATTTTTTTCATGTGTATTCATTTTAGAGACAGTGTGAGTGGGGGAGGGGCAGAGACAGAGGGAGACACAGAATCCATATCAGGCTCCGAGCTGTCAACACAGAGCCCGATGCGGGTCTCAAACTCAGAAACCATGAGATCATGACCAGAGCCACAGTTGGACACACAACCAGCTGAGCCACCAAGGTGCCCCTACCATGACATTGTTGAATGTGGTTATTTTTTAAAATTTCTCTCATTTCATTGCTTTCAAAAATTAGTTTCAGCTTTGTGCAGTAGCAGTATTATAGCCAATGGGTTTTATCTGAATCACAATTACTGCTAATTTAAAAGTTGATTTCAATAATTATAGCTTTATCTAAAGAATTCGGTTTCTGGTAGGGGCGCCTGGTGGCTCAGTCAGTTGAATGTCTGACTTTGGCTCAGGTCATGATCTCATGGTTCGTGGGTTCGAGCCCCGCATCGGGGCTAGCTCAGAGCCTGGAGCCTGCTTCAGATTCTGTATCTCCATCTCTCTCTGACCCTCCCCTGCTCACGCTGTTTCTCTCTCTCTCTCAGAAATAAATAAAATATTAAAAACAATTTTAAAAAAGGAATTCATTTTCTGGCATAATATAATTATATTTAGTATTGTAAGAGGTCCTAAAAATATTTTTTTTGGTCTTAAAAAGATTTTACACATATGTAAAAGTTTTAAATTAACAGGAGGAGGATGCAAATACTCAGCTTTTGCAGGTAGAATGTTTTTATACTCTCCATTTCTCTGCACTAAAATAAAAAATTAATACATTGATTTTAGTGCGGTGCAATTTTTATATTAAGTGTTGTCACCTGTATAATCATCAAGTAGATTTTAAGTTGTATATTACATTCTGATGTTGAGCAAATTCGAAGAGGCTTATTATGCTTTTAACATTTACCAAATTCAAAGTCTTTTTTTAATATATTTATTTCAAGAGAGAGAGGGTGTGTGCACGAGTGGAGAAGGGACAAAGAGCAAGGGAGAGAGAGAACGCAGGCAAGCCCCACGCTGTTCACACAAGAGCCTAAAGTGGGACTCGACTCTACGAACAGTGAGATCATGACCTGAGTTGAAATCGAGTCAGAAACTTAACCGGCTGAGCTACCCATGTGCCCCAAAATGCAATTTTTCAAGATATTTCAAAGGCAGTTATATTTCTGATCATTTTTCTTTGTTTCTTTCTTTTTATTATTCAGCATTCATGATGAATGTAATTCAGATTGTTCGTGACCACTGGGTACATATTCTTGTGCCTATGGGATTTGTCCTTGGATGTTATCTAGACAGAAAGAATGATGAAAAGCTAACTGCCTTCCGGAACAAGAGTTTGTTGTTTAAAAGGTTAGTTTTTAACCTTTGTTTTAAGCCAACAATTGGCCAGCTTTTGGAAATACCCTTTTTAATACCATAGGTACCAAAAATAAACGGAAGGGGTAAATTCCCCCCCCAAGAATTTACATTCAAGTGCTATTATTTTGTAGCATTATATGTTGTTTAATCATAAAAACAAAGTTTTAAACTAGTTCACCAAAGCTCACTTGAATGGAGCTTTCACATGTATTATCAGACACCATTTTCCGTAAGCCAGAATATGGCTGAAATACATGGTGATGATAGCAGCTTGGCGCTGTTTTGGCAGCACCTCAGCTGGAGAGCCATAGACGTGGCGGTTGAGTGATCCGAAGGCAGCCGACAGTTGCCTGAACCCATTGTGTCTCAGGAGATGGCTTTTTGGCAGCAGAGAGGTAGTCAGCAAGACAGGGTGTCTGCCACTGGGTGTCACCTAGGTGGGAAGAAGCCCCAGGCACCAGAGGCATGAGCAGCGTTCACAGTCGCTGTGTAGAGGAGGTTCACGGTTAGGGATTTCAAGACAGGCAACATGAATTAGAAAGGGTTTAGGAAACCTCAAATGGACAGAGGATGATAGCTTTCATACAGACTAAGAAATTATGGTTCCTTAATCTGGAAAAGTGAAATTGAAGGGCTGGGAAAAGTTTAAAATCACGAAAGAATGAATGGCTCTGTTGAGTCTATATAAAAATGTTAATGGGTCAGTTTAATAGAATATAAAATATTGAACTCATACTCTTTCCCCTACCCATGAAAGTTTAATTTATACTTTTTCCTTTCCTTCCTTTTAATTTCCACACAGGGAATTGAGACCCAATGAAGAAGTCACCTGGAAGTAATGGCTGTGACTGAAATATAGAATGATCACAGTTTAAAAATTGGGAGAGAAATAAAAACATTATTTAATTTGAAGTGTGAGTCTTTTAAGGTTGGAGTAATCTTCCACATTTCAACTAATAGGCACACGTAGCTTAAAAATAATTATTGAGCTCTTGATTATGTGTGTTGATGTTACATTTACAATCAGCATTTCATTTTCTTTTCCCCATTTTAGACCATAGTACTGTTAAGTCATATAGCCATTTTTTCCTCAGATATTTTTCAGAAAAATGTTTTCAAATTACATGCTTTAGAAGGATGACACTATTTGAAAATTTTAGTGACCTTGAGTTTGGCAAAGACTTAAATACAACACATAAAGCATGAAATAGTTTTAAAAACTTGCTCTTCAGGGGCACCTGGGTGGCTCAGTCGTTGAGTGTCCGACTTGGGCTCAGGTCATGATCTCACGGTTCGTGGGTTCAAGCCCCACGTCAGGCTCTGTGCTGAAAGCTAGCTCAGCCTGTAGCCTGCTTCGGATTCTGTATCTTGCTCTCTCCCTCCGACCCTCCCCTGCTCCCTCTGTCTCTCCCTCTTTCAGAAATAAATAAAACACATTAAAATTTAAAAAAAAAAAATCTTGCTCTTCAAAAAATTCTGTTCCAAAAATGAAAATGCAGCCATAAATTGGGAGAAACGTAATATACAACAACTTATATCTAGAATATATGAAGAACCCTTCTACCTTAATAATAAGACGACCCAGTTTTTTAAAACAATTCACTTATTTTTTAAGTAATCATTACACCCAGCGTGAAGCTCAAACTCACGACCCCCAGATCAAGAGTTGCACGCTCCACCAACTGAGCCAGCCAGGCACTCCTGGCCCAATGTTTTTAAATGAACAAGAAATTTTAATAGACACTTCACAAACAAAGATACAAGGATGGCAAATAAAGCATGTGAAAAGACCCCCACCATCAGCAGTCATTGGGGAAATGCAAATTTAAGCCACGAGATGCCACGACAGACCTATTAGAATGGTTCAAATGAAGATTGATCTATTAGCGGTGTTGGCAAGGGTGCAGAGGAACGACCTCACACACTGCTGGCCGGAGTGTAACCTGGGGTTGCCAGGAGTTGTAGCGCTTTGGAAACCCAGTGTAGCGGTTTCAAATGAAAACACCTGCCATATGCCGCAGCCATTCCACTCTGAGGTATTCCTCCGTAAAGGAAAGCCTATGTTCACACAAAGCCTTCTGTCAAGGTTTATAGCAGCTTCATTTGTAATAGTACAGTATTAAAGATGACCCAAACATCAATCAACAAAGTCAATACATTGGGTTAAATCCATACAATGGAATACTACTTAGCATTAAAAAAAAGAATGATCCTGGGTGCCTGGGTGGTGTCCAACTTCGGCTCTGGTAGTGATCTCATGACTTATGAGTTCGAGCCCTGCATTGGGCTCTGCTGATGGCTCAGAGCCTGGAGCCTGCTTCACATTCTGTGTCTCCCTCTTCTCTCTCTGCCCTTCCTCCTCCTCCTTCTCTCTCTCTCTCTCTCTCTCTCTCTCTCTCTCAGAGCCTGGAGCCTGCTTCACGTTCTGTGTGTGTGTCTCTCTCTCCCTCTCTCTCTCTCTCTTTCTCCCCCTCACCCCGCCCCATGCCCTTGTCTCTCTCTAGCATAAACAGTAATAAATAAATAAATGATTAATTTTTTAAAAAAGGAATGATCTAATGCTACAATGTTAATGAATTTCAAATTAATTATCCTGGATGAAAGAAGCCAGACAAAAAGCATATACTTTACGGTTGCATTTATATGAAATGTTAGAAACTGTGAACTATAGTAACAAAGCAGATCAGTGGCTGCCTGCAGGAACAAAATCCAGAAAAGGGTTAGAGGTAAGAATTCCAAGGGAGGGGCAGCACCTGGGTGGCTCCATCCATTGAGTGTCCATTGGTTTTGGCTCAGAACACGATCTCAGTGAGTTCAAGCCCTGTGTTGGGCTCTGCGCTGATGGCATGAAGCCTGCTTGGGATTCTCTGTCTCCCTCTCTCTCTCAAAAATAAATAAACATTAAGAAAAAAAAAGAATTACAAAGGGGCACAAGGAAACTTCGGATGGTTCCATGGCCGTATACATGTCATCTGCTGTATTCAACTACCTCTTCTCAGAAAACATTTTGTTTTAGATAATACAGAATTTAGGACAAATAATATTACAATGAAATGATACTCCCTAATTATCAATGATTCTTATCAGGGCTCTGGACACAATCTGACGCACCTTCAATTTTAAAATGTGAAATGTTTAAAATTCCGTTAAACTATTTGGTCTTCATTAATAACAAAGTTAATACCAGATTAAATTTAGAATATACGGTGTTCAAGAAGAGAGGAATACCTGTGCAATCTCACTTGTTAACATAAAACTGCAATGAATTAGAGAAAAGTTGAGTGGCCCAAGCTGGCATAAGAAGTCTGCTGGTAGCGGATCTGTTTGGTCTGCTCTCTCTCCAGAAACTCTCCTGATTAGCTCAGTAACTTCTCTCTCCCACTGAATTATCTTAATACTTTCCTGTGCCAATCAGTCAAAAAGAATTCCTGCATTTATTCACTGCTCTGTACCAACCTTTGATATAAAGACTAAGACTCATCTACCCCTCAAAAGCTAATATAAAGTAGCATATAAAGTAATCGGTCCAGTGTGGTGTGATGACTGTGTTCATACAGGCACGTGCAAGGTATAGTATCACAAAGGGCTTCATTAGAAGATTCTGGAAATCAGAAGCAGCCGGTGTGACTGGAGCAGAGGGAATTCTGGGAGATACACCTGGACTGATAGTCGGTCCAGATCACAAAGTGCTTTTTAAGCTGGCAATGGGAAGCCACCAAAGGATCTTATAAGATTTGTGTGATTAATATTGAAAGATCCCTCCCAATATACGCTCCATGAAGGTGGGACTGTTTGTTTTATGGTCACGGTCCCAGTGCCTGACATGTAGTAGTATTCCATTTATTAAAAGGAAGAAAAACTGGTGACATTTGCATGTTTGAGAGATCACTGACAGCACTATGAATCTTACATATTGAGACCAGAATATCAGAAGACCACTTTAGTAATCCTTGAACTGGGCTACACGAGAGACCAAGAGGGCTTGAACTACCAAGAGCAATGAAGAAAGAGCAGAGATGGTGAATACACAAGATTTGAGGATTGACCGATACAAAGAGTGAGGGGAAGAGTTAGGGAATCAAGAATCATTCCCAGACAGTTGGCTTCATTAATTCATTTGAAAGACTTCAACTACCAAATGGTCATAAGACATGGGCCTGGCCATCATGACATTTCTAGGGTATTGGGGGAAATGTAGGGTTAAACCAACTATTATTGTACTGTGTAAAAGTGACCATGTATGATAGAGGCACATACAGGGGCTCAGAGGGGGGACAGGGACTTCTAAATTCGTTGGAGAGCAGGGAACACTTTCTGGAGGGTATAGTCATTGAGTTTTGAAGGATGATATGAGTTATCTTACAAAGTTAAAAGGTTAGGATGTGCTGAATATCAAGTGGAATGATGAGAATAGGGAATGCAACACATTTAAGACACAAATCGTACACGGTTTCAACAGCAAAGCCAAAAGCAGAACTTTCATTCTGACTTGCAGGCAATCTTTTCACTTTAGATGCTTTGCTATCAATCACATGCTTAATAGGTGGGGAAGCCCTAATGAAATGATTAGTATGAATTCAACACCGCTGAATACTGCCAGGAGGATTTAAGAGGGAACAAAACAATGAGTCCTTCAGCATAGTGTTCATCCTAGTAAGCAGTTATGCACTGTAGAAAGCTGAAGCATGCCCCCTTCCAAAACTCAGGTTCACCCAGAATCAAAGACCTTGTTTGGACGTAGGTTCTTTGCCAATGAAATAAGTTAAAGATCTCAGCATGAATTAAGGTAAGACCTAAGTCCAATCATTGGTATCTCATGAGAGGTCAGAGACACAGAAGGAAGATGGCCATGTTAAGACCAAAGCCAAGGTTGGAATCCTGCCAACTAATTAATTAGCCAACTAATTAATTCCAGGAGCCTTTAGAAGCTGGAAGAAGCAAGGAAGGATTCTCCCTGTGACTTTGGCCCATGGTCCTGCTGACACCTTGATTTCAGACTTCTGGCCCCAAGAACAATTGAGAGGATACATTTCTCATGTTTTTAGCCACCAAGTTTGTGATGATTTGCTGCTGCAGCCATAGGAAATGAATATAATCACATTTTTTCCTGAATAAGTAATATATATAGTTCAAAAATCAAGAATAAAATTGTATATAGTGAAAAGTCTCCCTTCCACCCTTGCCTATTTACCTACTTCCCTTCCCATCTCAAGCCTGTAGGTAACCTCTGGGTTTCCTACATAGTCATCCAGAGATGTGTAATATATATAAACAAAAAGTAAATACATGTTTCTGTACATAGGCACAAACTTTGTTTTTAAAAAATCAGAAAAAAAATGGTTTGCATATTTTTTCACTTCATGAGATCATGATTTGTTTCCCCAGTTAACCCACAGTTCCTTAAGGACATGCATAGACTCTTTCCCCAATATACGGTTGCGGACTGTGCACACAGGAGCGTTTGATAAATGGTAACTGAATCCTACCCAGGAGCACCTGGTCTTCGCTGGACTCTCCATTTCCTTACCTCCTACTGTCCCTTCTGTTCCTCTGAACCTGCACTCACCAAAGTCACCAATAGTCTCCATAGCAACACAATTTAGTGGAATCTTGTTAAGTCCTTATGTTGCAGCAACTGACACTGCTCCCTGAAACATTGCCTTCTCAGGGTTTTGATAACTTTACACTCTCCTGCTTTTTCCTCCCTTCCCCTCCACTACTCTTTCTCTACTCTCAAGACTCTGCTCTAGATCCTCTCTTCAATCTCTTCCTTTTCTCCTAGATGATTTTATTCACTCCGGTGAATAACTCCCTGCTCTATAACAAAATCAAACCCCTGAACTCCAGACTATCTTTTAAAAAATATTTATTTATTTATTGGGAGAATGCAAGCGGGGGAGGAGCAGAGAGAGGGGACAGAGGATCCAAAGCAGGCTCTGCACTGACAGGCTGACATCAGCAAGCCCAAAGTGGGGCTCCAAGGAGATCATGACCTGAACCCAAGTGGATGCTCAACCGACTGAGCCACCCAAGTGCCTCTACTTATCTATCTGTCTATCTATCATGTATCTATGTGCCCACCCATTACTTGTCTCAGGGCCCATAGGTATGTCAAACTCAACATCTTTAAGAGGTAAACTCTATTGGGGCGCCTGGGTGGCTTAGTCGGTTAAGTGTCCGACTTTCGCTTAGGTCATGATCTCACGGTTCGTGGGTTCGAGCCCCGTGTCGGGCTCTGTGCTGACTGCCAGCTCAGAGCCTGGAGCCTGTTTCAGAGTCTGTGTCTCTCTCTCTCTCTGACCCTCCCCTGCTCACGCTGTCTCTCTCTCTCCTAGAAATAAATAAAAACATTAAAAAAAAAAGAGGTAAACTCTATTTTCTCTTTTCCAAACCTTGCCCTTCCTCCAGTATTCCCCATCTCAGTGAACACTGTTCCTGCCTAGTGGCTGCCTAGGACAAAAACCCAAACATCATCCCTAATGTTTCTATGTCCCTCACTCCCCACTCCCACCAAGTTCTGTTGAGTCTCCATGCTTCCTAATTATCTCTCAAAATGGTCTCCTCTCAATTGCAGGTCAGTACTCTAGTCCAAACACCATCAGCTCTCCCAAGATTCCTTTGACAGCGCCAGCTCTTCTATAAAGCTAGTGATCTTTATAAAATGAAAATCTGAGCATGTCTCTTCCCCTTTAAAAAAAGAAACTCTATATAACTCCCCTACTGCCTTTAAAAAGCATACCTTCCTGGGAGGACCTGGTGGTCCACATTGGGCTGTCTGCTGTCAGCCTCAGATCCTCTGTCTCCTCTCTCTGCCGCTCCCTCAGTCTCTCTCTCTCTCAAAACTAAATAAACATTAAAAATATTTTCTTAAAAGCATACTTTTCTTAACCTAATTTCAAGGTGCAAAATCTGCTTCTTCCCTACTCCTTCAGCTTCATCGACCCCCTTTCCCCACTTTGCTGGACTCTTCAGTTCCCCTGACTCATGTTTCCTCTTCAGGGTCAGAACAAGACACTGGGAACAAGATGAATAGATTTGGACCCCAGCATGGCAACTTACTAATTGACCTCGTTCACCCTTCTTTTCTTAACCTCCCTGGGCATTAGTGTCCTCATGGGTAAAATAGGGATCATAACAACACCTACATCAACGGTTGTATTAAATTCGTTAAGGGGCACCTGGGTGGCTCAGTCGGTTAAGCGTCCAACTTTGGCTCAGGTCATGATCTCATGGTTTGTGGGTTCGAGCCCTGTAACGGGATCTGTGCTGACGGCTAGCTCAGAGCCTGGAGCCTGCTTCAGATTCCGTATCTCCCTCTCTCTCTGACCCTCCCCTGCTCACACTGCCTCTCTCTCTCTCTCAGAAATAAATACAACATTAAAAATTAAAAAAATAAACTCGTTAATGTATGCAAAGTAGCTTAAGAATGCCGACCCTACAGTAAGTTCTATATAAATATTAACTGCATTTTTAAACAAGTGCTAGGTGTTGGGGGATGAAGTATTGTCTTTTTCTTAATCAGGCTTTCAGTCGGGAAGGAGAAGATAGTAAATAGTTATATGCAAATATGGTAAGCAGAAAAGACAAAGTGGAAAACATAAAAGAACATAGAACCCAGCTGTTCCTTGTCCAGACCCCAATGGCCTAAAAATCCATAGCAATGGGTGGGGAGGGGAGATCCTCCAGCCCCTAGGTGGCGCTGCAACACCCCTCCGAGCCGGCCAGATAAAGGGAGATGGCAGGACGCGCTACAGAGGTCACGTGTCGCCCGCTTTTACCGCCCCGGCGTTCACTAGCTCTCCGTTCCACGTGACTCACGCCCTCGCGGATGATTGGTCTGTACGAGGCACGTGGGCAAGGGCGGCTAGAGGCGGGGCGGGGCTGGGTGGGCGGAGGGGTGGGGCCGAGGGGCGGGGCTGGAGGGGGGTGGTTCGGCGCGGGGGCCGTTGGCTCCAGACAAATAAACATGGAGTCCATCTTCCACGAGAAAGTGAGTGTCCGCGTTCGGTGGGGGGCTGTCTGTCGCGCCGTGGCTGCGGTGGGGCGCGGTAGAGCCGCCTCCCGCAGGGCTGGCGGGGGCCCGAGTCGCCCCCATCCCAGTCTCGCCGGGCGGGAGGAGCTTCTGAGGGAGGGGAGCTTCACCGACGCCCCCACCGCGCGCTCTGCCAAAGAGGCCGGTGCCCGAGGTGTATGGGGCTCGGGACGCCCGGGCAGCTGGGAGGGAGCGAGGGCAGGGCCGGGGACCCCACGGGGGCACGGGAGAGCGGGGGCCCCGAATGGGTTAGCTTCTGCGCTTCCCTTGCACTTTCCGTGGGCTTCGCTCTCCAGTCCCGTCTCCCCCAGGCTCCCTAGGTTGTAGCCAGTCTCCTCTTGGACGCGTTCCCCGACCCTCCCCAACTCCACCCGACTCCCCCAGTCCCACGTCTGGCAGAATTAACTTTTCCTCCCCTGGGCTCCTCAGTTCTGTATTGGAACCTCCCGTACACTTAGATCTCTGGGGTTGTGTTCTTTCCTCCTGCACTGGGTCCCTGAGCCTCTCGAGGGCGGGGACCTTGGCTCGTCCCACGTAGGGCCTGACACTTGGGGAAGTGAGGTCGGAAATCCTGAGCGCCCCTAAACAGGGAAGTCGTCACAGGAGTTTTTGTTACGGGATGTCTAGGTTTCGTTTCTTTTGGTAGTTGCATCTCTCCGGGATCAGGAGGCCAGCTTTCTTATTAGTTATTAAGGGTGGACTCGAATAGTTTTGTTGTCCGCCAGCCTGTTTTGGTTTTTATTCTTTGATTGACCACACAATTGAAGATACTTTTGGTGGCATGTGGAGAAACAAGCTCTTTGGGTGTGAGTGAAACCTTCCCCGGGACAGCTTTGGCACATGACAGATGTATTGTTTCATAATACTTTCGTGTTTGGAAAGGAGTGTTGGGAAGGCTTTTATTTAGTAGGAGCAGAGGGGTTTGGTTTTGTTAAATACTTGTAAATGATCATTTGTCCATTCACACAAAGACCTAATAGGCAAAAGAGGCACACGGTAAATCTAGACAAGTTGTTCAGTGGAATACTTTTCTTTATAGAAAACATCTTAGACCGTTTTTGCACTGGAGTAGATCAGTTTTTATGTGTAGGGGAGGAAGGGGAGGAAGTCAAATCTTTTGACTTAATTGATGGATGTTGGACAGGAGAAATTTTGTTGCCTTGCTAAGGAGATTGGATGAAGAGAACCCTACCTATACATCTTTTTATTACTAATTTTCAAAAGCTTTGGTATAGGGCCAGAGATTTCAAATGGAAGACTTTAAACTTTTTCCACACCACCTTTTGAGAGTTACATATTTTTACAGATACTGATTGACAGGCACAGGGCACTGTTTGGGGATAGATTTCAGTGAAGGTGACCTCTGGACCTGGGTGGTTTAGTAGCTCGGTGCTAGTGTTAGCCTCATAAAGGTCTACTTTTCCTGAAAGAAGTCACTCTTCATTATCAGCATCTGTGTAGGCTTAAAGGTGCTTAAGGAATACGTTTACCGTAATCATCAACTTATACATACTTAACAGATGAGGGCTTTTAATGTTTTTTAGGCCTATTTCAAGAGTATGGAAAATACCTATAACCATAGGGCCCGTTGTTAATCTCGTACACAGTCCATTCTGGGAATGTTTGAGCTTAATATGCCATTTTCCAGCACCTTCCCTTCCCCATCTGCCACATATGTATAACCTTTGCCAGAGCACCAGCGTTGGCTCTAAGGAAGCTGTGTATATACAGATACCTGCCTACAAGAGGCCTTGCAGCTACTTCCTCCTGAGTATTGGTTTCCCCATTTTCAGAGTGGCACCACGTTGAGTGCCCTTTGTTAAGATGTAAACTTACCAGTTGTTCAGTGATATAGCCCCAGTGCCTAAGATAGTGCCTAGCACATAGTAGTTGCTCAGTAAATATTTGAGTGAATTAAGAGAGTTCCTTGAGCTTCTAAGATGTGTATGGTGGTAGTTATGTAAAGGAGACCATTTTTGTGTAAGTATTTTAGGCTTTTCAAACCCTGTATGGTCTCACATGTTCTTGTTCGTGTGTGGGTGTGTTACCCAACCGTCTAAAATCATAAAAACCACTCGTAGCCACTGGAGCAGGTTGTATTTGGCCTATTGGTTAGAGTCTGCCAAGCCCTAACAAACCCTAGTCCTAAATGGCCACTAACTGCTTGGTGTTTTGGTGTTTGTTGTAGTTCTGATGTCTGCTTTCTGTCATTTCTGTTAGCATTTCTATTGTGGACTGCTCTCTGTACGGTCACAGTGGCATCCAAATTGGTACTTTTAAGGTAATTTGAGAATGTAGCCAAACTTGTTGGGGTTGCGTTTAAGATTATTGAAAATGCTTAGAAGATGCTGAGCTTTGACTTCATGATATTCATTTGGCCCTTTTGTGATTGGTAGTTTCTAGCTGTCTTTAGGATAGTTGAGGTTTAGGAACAACCAAATTCCAAGTAAGTGGCTTGAGGAAGTAATAATAGCACAGACTTAACCTCTGCCTGAGTTTGAATCCCAGCTCTGCAATTTACAAACCATACCATCCTGAGCCAAGTTACTTACTGTCTCTCTCTGCGCCAGTTTCCTTCTCTGTGGTGTGAGGATAACAAAGTGTCTACCTCAGTTATAAACACTTGGACTGCTTCCTGGCACAGGTACTGTGGAAGCACCCACCATTGTTGTTACTTAGATACTTGGGTTTGCTGGACTTGGTAATGGAAGTGAGACCTTATCCTCACTGAGATGCTGGGTTGATTGTATGGCCCTTTAGGCCAATCCTGAGTGCACCTGTAGGTTTATGCCTGGTTTCTGTTGTAATCAGTAGTGTCTCTGGGAATCTGAACTTATTGAGGGTTGGTCCTAAAGACTTTAAGGAGGATGATTTGGTTACGTTTACCCCCTGTGGTTTTATAAAATATCTTGGTAAAGCTGAACATACAGGATTGTTCATCCTCTGATCCCAATACAATAAATCTGGGCCTAAAATCATGGAATTTCAATACCACTGACTTTGACCATAGCACAGATAAACTTCTATCCGACTTCGGTTAAAGCTCCATGAGAATGACGTGGGTGGGGATAAATTGGAGGCTCGGAATGCATAACATTAGGTGGGGCCCCTTGTACTTTTTTTTTTTGGTTCATGTTGGATTTGATTCATCTTGTGACTTTAAAAAGTGATTTTAAATTTGGACTGAACAATTTGTTCTTTTCTTCTATTAAATCATATTGGAAGTACAGGACTTGCTATTTCCTGTAGCAATACAGTTTTACTTAGACAACGTTTGATTTCAAGTGCTTATTGTTTTGTATTTCAAAGCTAGTTTTTTAAATTCTTTTAGAGAGCTTGAGCAGAGAAGAGAGGCAGAGGGAAAGAGAGTTTCCGAAGTGTGAGGCTCAATCCCACAACCCAGGCTAAACCCAAGAGTCAGTTGCCCAACTGCCTGAACTACGCAGGCACCCCAAAGCTAGTTTTTTATACAGAGAATTTTTATTAAATAGTTGGATTTACTCTTTCAATATATGTATTAAATGTGATGGCCGTAGTTTGAGAGCACCAAGCTGAGGCATGTAACCTGATAGGCAGACAGAAAATTTGCATTAAGACTATTCCCAGAAAAGCCGTGTCTGGTGACCATAGTAGGAAGTTCTTGGGACTCCAGGGTGGCTCAGTTGGTTAAGCATCCGACTTCGGCTCAAGTCATGATCTGATGGTGGGTGAGTTCTAGCCCCACATCAGGCTTGCTCTGTGCTGGTAGCATGGAGCCCCCTTTGGAACCTCTGTCTCCCTCTCTCTGCCCCTCCCCTGCTTGCTTGAGCTCTCAGAAATAAATAAACATGGGGTACCTGGGTGGCCCAGTCATTGAAGGGACCAACTCTTGGTTTCAGCGCAGGTCATGATCTCACAGTTCATGAGTCTGAGCCCCACATCAGGCTCTGTGTATGGAGCCTGATTGGGATTATTTTCTTTCTCTCTCCCCCTCTCCCTCTCCCACTCGTGCTTGTGCACGCGGCTTCTCTTTCTCTCTCTAAAAATAAATAAACTTCTAAAAAGTTAAATAAATAAGCATGAAAAAAAGGAAGCGCTTGATATGTGAAATACCTGTATCTTAGCAGAGGTTTTGTGTGTGTATGTTAGTTGAACTTTTTTGACTTTAACAAACACATGTCAAGGGCACACAAACCATGAATACAGCTCAATGAGTGTTCACACTTTGTTCACACACAAAGTGAGCACACGTATGTAAATAACTCTTCCATCAGGTAACAGAACATTTACTTGTCCCACTTCCTCCAGATACGGTCCCTCCGCTCCACCTTCACCCTTGCAAGGGTGATCACTGTCCTGAATTCGAATATCATAGCTGAGCTTTGCCTGTTTTTGAGCTTTTGTAGATGGCGTCATACAACACGTACTCTCTCGACTCTATCTTCTTTAACCTTGATTCATCCTTTTGTCGCAGGTTGTTGTAGTTAATTCATTCTTGTTGTTCTGTAGTATGCCCTTGTGAATATCACACAGTCGGCCCATTCTTTGACGGGCGTCTGGATGGTTCAGGGTGGGGTGTTACCAGTAGTAGTGCTATGAACATTTTTATACATGTCTTTTGATGTCTTTTGATGAACGCATATTTACATTTCTGTCATTGGCACTATGTACCCAATAGTGGAATTGCTAGATCATAGGGTTCGTATATGTTAAGCTTTAGTAGATACTCCAAATAGTTTTCCAGAGTGGTCGTACTAATTTACATGGCCACAGGTAGTATTTTGATGTCTCTAATCTCCAACATCTTAGCTGTTTGGGAGAGTGTGTAGTCGTAACAAATTGCAGTTTTAATATATCCTTCCCTGATGGTTAATGACGTTGAGCATCTTTTTGTCTGTTTGTGAATACTTGTTTGCCTTGCCCATTTTTCAATAGAATATAAGTAGGATGTCATGTATTCCTTCAATTCACATTGTATTGTTCAGAGGGAGTTGCTTTCTAGCGGTAGGAATCCAGCAGATGGAAAAAGAGGTGGAGACACCCTCTCTCACTCTGTGGCTGTGACTTGAAGGAGCACGTCTTCAGCTTCAGGCTGCTTATTCTACACCACAATATGAAGATAAGCTTACCTTGGCCCCTGTCTTGCGCTCAGACTCTCAGTGCTGCCTTCCTATTCCACTGTATACATATACCCTGTATCATTTCCTGAAGCTGAATTTGGTTCCCAGAAAACTAATTAATCAGGAAAAAATACTTGTCTCACAAGGTGTTGCTCTTTGGGGTCAACAAAGAGTTCTGTGTCACTCTTGAGTAACACAGAACACATCGTACAAGGTAAGACAGTCTGGTTAAGGCATAGACTTTACTGTAGAAAGGGAGAACTTAGAGGGCCAGGGTTAGCGGGAGAAGAGACTGTTCTCATCTTCTGCCATCATTCCACAGAAGGGTCTGTGTTCACAGGAAGAGATCTCATTCACTGGTGAGGCTCCCTTCTTCCAGGGCAAGCATGGGAAACTGACAGTGTTGTGGGGAGCAGGGTGATAAGTAGACCACTCAGGGCCAGGCAGTTTGGATTTAGATTTGGGGTGCCAGCTGTGTGCGAGCCAGCTGCCCAGCAGCCGAAGACCCTGGGGCCCCTGGGAAGTTGTACTCCCTCCACCCCCACGGTACGAAGCCAGCAATCCTAACGGTGCCATGGCCACTCTGATGCAGCCCTCCTTGCTGGCCAGTCCGGAAATGACCCCAGGGGTGGCTTGGGGGAGCTCTGTTTATCGTACATACTACATAGACATTTTGTTCCCCGAAGAGAACTGTGGTTCCGTTGGCTACAGGTCTTCATTAGCACCGAGCAGAATCTTTCATACTTGTATCAGTTCTTGAGATTCTTTTGTTCATTGATTTGAAACTCCTTGAATAAGCATTTAGATCGAGTAGATTATCTTGTTAAAAGAACCCAAATGTTCTATTAAAATTTCACTTTATGCGTTAGTAATTTTCCAGGGAACCTCCAAAGATGTATGTATTTTAGGTACTGAAAATAGGAGATGCTAATGTTTTTGTAGAGTAGTTTCTAGTGAAATATGAAACCTGGCATATTTGATAGAGAGTGATGTTTATGTAAATCATTCCTTTTTTTAAATTTTTTAATGCTTTTTTATTATTGAGAGACAGAGACAGAGCATGCACATAGGAGGGGCAGAGAAGGAGAGAAACACATAATGTGAAGCAGGCTCCAGGCTCTGAGCTGTCAGCACAGAGCATGATGTGGGGCTTGAGCCCACAGATTGCGAGATCATGACCTGAGCCAAGGTCAAACATGCAACAGATTGAGCCACCCAGGTGCCCCTATATAAATCATTCTGAAGTTTTTGATCATATAGGTAAATAATTGTAGCTTCATTAGTGGTAAAATTGTAAAAGAAGTGCTAAATGAAAATTCAGATACTTCTGTTACTCGTGCTGTCGAAAGCCAAAAACGTTCGGTTTGGCTGTCTTCAGTTAATGATTAAATTCCTCTCAAGAGGAAGAGAACTATACAAGTCTGTTCAACAAATCAATTTGAATTTTTTTCTTTTGAAACATTAGCAAGAAGGCTCACTTTGTGCTCAACATTGCTTGAATAATCTGTTGCAAGGAGAGTATTTCAGCCCCGTGGAGCTGTCTTCCATCGCACGGCAGCTGGACGAAGAGGAGAGGATGAGGATGGCGGAAGGAGGGGTTACCAGTGAGGACTACCGCACGTTTTTACAGGTGCTCTTCAGCTCGCTAAATCAGGTTTTGGAAAAAATGCGGGCACTGTTTAGGAAAGGATGAAGCATCCTTCCTAAGAGGATCTGACTTGTTAATTATAACTGTGCTCTTGACATTATAAATGGGAACGCGTAAGATGTTATTTTAAATATGCACACTAATGACTGTTCTTCTCCTCCTCTCCCCTCCCTCAACCCCCGCCTCAACGACCCATCCGAACTAAACAGCAGCCCTCGGGAAATATGGATGACAGTGGTTTTTTCTCCATTCAAGTAAGTGGTTGGAAGTATGTACTAAGGGTTGTTGATGTACCAGGCGCCGATCCCACTGAGGATGCGGTCGATAACGCATCTCTTCTCGCAGCCCTTCATGGCCACTGTAATGATGCGACCTTCAGCAGTCTTTCTAGTAGATTGTGTCTAAGAGTATAAGATTATTAAAAAATAAAAATAAAGCTATAGACCACAAGGAAAAAACTGGGGGAAAAAGTGTAAAATCATACTCCAGGGTACTAGATTTTTATAGAGCTAAACATGAAAATTAAGATTGTACAACCTTCATTTTAGAGGAGGGCGTTTTGAAAGAAGGCTGTGTAATTTACATTTGGATGCTGATAACCATAATTCCAATACGTTGAAGTATTTCAGACTTGCTACACCTTGGATAAATTTGAGAATAACGCAACACCTCACTACCTTCCATTTAAATCCACTTGCCAGGATTGGATTCCTTTATTATGGTCTGTGGCTTTTGCTTTTTCTTCTTTTTTCAAACTTTCAGCTCCCCTTGAATTCTGTGGATGAATGTTTATGTACCTGGGGGACTCTTTTACCTTACCTGTGGGTCTTTCATTCTAACAGCTTCTTCCAGAAGCTCTCTCGAGGAGCCTGTTTCTGCACACCTGTCTGTTGCATTCCCCTGTACTGTCCTCCTGAACCCCTCATTCAGTGGCCTCTCCATCTAGCACACTCTGCAGGGGTGGTGCCCGGGGAGGAGGGGCTGTTGCAGCGCCCGAGGAGGCTTGAGCGGGCCCTGCTCTTGTCGTTGCCTCTTTGTGCGACACTGGGACACTGGTCTTGGTGCCAGTTTGCATCTGCCCCTACATGGCATTCACTGTGTGTCTGCGCCAGCACCTGGTTTGCTCGCGCTGTTGGCTGCCTGGGAGGCAGAAAGTGAATTTTCAGAAACATCGGTTTGTCGTTCCCCCCACCCCCCGGTCAGTTTGAAGTAATCAGGTTTTTCCCCCCCAAAAATTACAAAGCCATGATAATAGTTCAGAGTCTGAAAGTTTCAGTTTAAATTCCCAGGAAGAACCCATTTTCAAAAGACAAAATTTTCATCACTACTGACATACCAGGTAGTGAGTTGAATATAACTTTTCAAAACAGGATCCGTAGCAGCCAGATGATTGTGTGTGTGTAGTGGACTAGTACTTAACTGAGTAGAATATATGTGTGGATTTTTGAGACGGTTTTATCTAGGAATTATGTGGTTCTCTGGAACATTCCAGAAACCTAGCATAAAAAGCACTCTTCTATAGCTACTTTTTTTCTTTTATGGATTTAGTTGATGTATCTATACATACACTTTTTAAAAAGTATAGCCTTCTAGGGGAAATAATGAAGTAAAATTGTTTATACAACTAACATGGCTACACTACATAATTTGGAATTGAATGGTTTAGCTCATGAAAAGTTGCTATTTTTTTTTTTAACAGGTTATAAGCAATGCCTTGAAAGTATGGGGTTTAGAACTAATTCTCTTCAACAGTCCAGAGTATCAGAGGCTCAGGATCGATCCCATGTAAGATTTTTATTTTGCTTTTCCATATTGCTTTTCCTAAACCGGATTTTTAAAGTTACAGTTTCTTAAAGAAGAAAAGCATATTTTGAATTATTTTGTTTTGATGTCCCCTGCCTCATTCCCTCCTTTCCTGTTACAGCTTTTGGGGATGTCCACAAACATCTCCTCCCCATTAACTCCCCTCCCCCCTTTGGTGTCTGGCAGCACAGAGCTTGTCCATGAAGCGGGTGTGATGCCAGCATTCTTGCCTGGCATCACTCACCTGCAGAGAGATTTATACTCTTTGGGTTTTATTTTTGTTTTTAATACTGTTTTGTAAAATTTCTTAAAAATCAGTGATACTTGATGGTAAGCATAATCCTAAACTGTCATGTTTTATATAATACTTTGCTAGTAGATAAACTAAAGGAATACGAACTCTGTTATTTCAACTTAATATTGTGTATGTACTTTTTTTTCTAGAAATGAAAAATCATTTATATGCAATTACAAAGAACACTGGTTTACAGTTAGAAAATTAGGAAAACAGGTAATGTTTCTCTCTTTCTTTTTTCTCATTTTGCACTCCATTGGCAGCTAAAATGTAAAGGGTTGGTACCTTGAAGATGATGAAACTTATCAGTAATGTGTGTGTATGGCATGGTTTTAATCTTAATAGAGATTTGCTATTTTAAAAGACAGTATCAGTTCCCCTTAGAGACTTATTTGTAACAACCATACACAGTTGATTCTTCAACAACATGGGTTTGAACTACATGGGTCCACTTGTACATTTTTTTTTTTTTTTTAACAGTACTGCAAATGTATTTTCCTTCTGATTTTCCTTTTATTTTTATGATTTTCTTAGTAATGTTTACTTTTCTCTAGCTTTATTGTAAAAGTAAGTATATCAGAGGTGCCTGGCTGGTCGATAATACATGCAGCTCTTAATTTCAGGGTTGTGAGTTCAAGCCCCACATTGGACATGGAGCCTACTTAAAAAAAAAAAATTATACAGTACATATACAAGATGTGTGTTAATTGCTTTTATTAGCAGTAAAGCTTTAGGTCAGCAGTAGGCTATTACTATTGAGTTTTTTGAAGAGTCAAGCTACGCGTGGATTTTCAGCTATGTACAGGGTCAGCACTCTTAACCCCCACATTGTTCAAGGGTCAGCTGCACAATTTGACTATATAAGAAAAACATTCTATTTAATACAAAAGTGGTTACTTTTAGTGAGTTTTTATGTGATAAAAACATAAAAAACATAGTTAACTATGATTTTATAGATTTGTGTCCAGCATATAGTAGTGTCATGAAGACTGAAATAGCGTTCAGCACGAATAAAAATGTTTCAGCCATGTTTGCTTTAGCATATCAAGATTATCCACATTCCAGAGTGCCATGTAATACTTACATCTACATAAAATCATTCAATTTTTTTTGAAAAGGACATGGAATGTGTCTTGAACAAGCCTTTCTTAAGATCAAGACATGTACCCTAACATGTTATTTTTTAAAATATTTACCAAAGATCTTTGTATACATGATACTATTTTGAAACAATTATTTAAAGTCATCTTTAGGGGCGGCAGGGTGGCTCAGTTGGTTAAACGTCTGACTCTTGATTTCGGCTCAGGTCATGATCTTACTTTTGTGGGTTTGAACCCCACATCGGGCTCCCCACTGACATTGTAGAGTCTGCTTGGGATTCTCTCTCTCCCCCCATCTCTCTCTCTGCCCCTCCCCTGCACATCCTCTCTCTGTCTCTCAAAAATAAATAAATAAACTTTTTTTTAAAAAGTCCTTTTTATTAGAATTTTGAATCTTGGCCCATCTGCGTGACTCAGTCAGTTTAAGCGGCCTACTCTTGGTTTCAGCCAGGGTCATGCATGATCTCTTAGTTTTGTGAGTTCAAGCCCTCATCAGGCCCTGTACTGACAGTGCGGAGCGTGCTCGGGATTCTTTCTCCCCTTCTCTCTCTGCCCCTCCCCCACTCACACTCAAAATAAATAAACTTAAAAAAATGTTTTGAATCTTTGAAAGAGGGATATTAGAAACGGTCCGATATAAAAAGAAATGAACTGTTGATCTGTTCAACAACATGGATGCACCTAAAAATAATTATGCTCAGTGAAAGCCAGATACAAAATGCTATGTCCACTGTATGGTTCCATTGATATAAAAGTCTAGAAAATGCAAACTAATCTATAAAGACAACAGATTCACCAGTGGTTGCCTGGGGATGAGGAAGGTGAGGAAGAGTGAGAGATGAGGACCATAAGGGCACTGGAAACTCTCAGTGGTGGCCATCATATACCAGGATGGCTTCCTGGGTATATACATGTGTTACAGCTTCAAAGTGAACACTTTTAAATGTGTGCAGTCTCTCCCGTGTCAGTTATATCTCCATAAACCTTTTTAAGAACAAAATAACACAAAACAGAAAGGAAAATGAAATCAAGAATGAGTCCACTGGATTAAATCAATAAAAGATCATTCAGAAATAGAAAGCTGCTATTATTTTTTAAGTCTGCTGCCTAGAAGCAGCTTTATGTGACGTGATTATTTCTGAAGGTCCCTCCCGAGTGACAGAGAGCCAGTAAGGAGGTGCCGTGCCAGAGACGGCGACCTGAGGGTGGGGGAGGAGTCAACTCTAAGGGGAAACCAGAGAGGACGTTGCCGAGGTTATTTAACCTTCGGCTTTTAATTATACCTTTAAAAACTTATGATCAAGTATTCTTTACTTTTTCTGTATAAAGTTAAGCATTGGATTTTTTTAAGATCTGAAGACTTAGGTTCTAGAAGTTCCTTTGGTAATTTGCATGTAAAACTTTGAGAGCTTTTACAAATTTTGGTTTAAAATTGAATTTTCACATTTTAGTTACTTTATCTTTGATAAATACAAGAAATGTCCAATTTTAACTTATTATATTTGGCCCTAATTTATATATTTTTTTACAGTTATATTTTTCACTGTATACTTCTTTGTTAAAGGTCCTTGTATTATGAAAACGATGACTGGAAAGGTTTTTCCTTATACATATTTTTAAATTCCAGTATAGTTAACATACAGTGCTATATTAGTTTCAGATGAATGGTGCAAGCGATTCAGCAGTTTTGTACATTACTCAGTGCTCATCGCAGGAAGTGCCCTCTTGATCCCCTTCACCCTGATAACCTGTCCCCTACCCATCTCCTTTCTGATGATCATCAGTTCTCTATAGTTAAGAGTCTGTTTTTTGGGGCACCTGGGTGGCTCGGTCAGTTAAGCGTCCAACTTCAGCTCAGGTCGTGATCTCACAGTTTGTGAGTGTGAGCCCCGCATCAGGCTCTGTGCTGACAGCTTAGAGCCTGGAGCCCTCTTTGGATTCTGTGTCTCCCTCTCTTTCTATCGCTCTCTCCCTCTCTTTTCGCTCGCTCGCTCGCTCTCAAAAATAAACATTTAAAATAGAGGCTGTTTTTGGTTTGTCTTTTTTTCCCTTGTTTCTTAAATTCCATGTGTGAGTGAAATCCTATGGTATTTGTCTTTCTCTGACTTATTTCACTTAGCATTATACTCTGGATCCATCCAGGTTGTTGCAAATGGCAAGATTTCATTCTTTTTTATGGCTGAATAATATTCCATAGAGCATACGCATCTGTGTGCGTGCGTGTGTGTGTGTGTGTGTGTGTGTGTATGTATCCTATCTTCTTATTCATTTGTTGGTAGACACTTGGACTGCTCCCATGATTTGGCTATTGTAAATAATGCTGCAATACTCGTAGAGGTGCATATGTCTTCTCAAATTAGTGCTTTTGTATTCTTTCGGTAAATACCCAGTAGTGCAGTTACTGGATCGAAGGGTAATTTTGTTTTTATTTAATTTTTCTGAGGAAACACCATACTGTTCCATACTCCGTATAGTTTGCATTCCCACCCACAGTGTAGAAGGGTTCCTCTTTCTCCACATCCTTGTCAACACTTGATTCTTCTGTTTTTGATGTTAGCCATTCTGACAGGTGTGAGGTGATACCTCATTGTAGTTTTGATTTGCATTTGCCTGATGGTGAGTGATGGTGAGCATCTTTTTATGTGTCTGTTGGCATCTGGATGTCTTTGGAGAAATGGATGAGTAGAAAAAGTATAATCTCTGTCAAAATCCAGGAAAAGTAGTTGGTCATGATGCTGACAGTAACTTTGGAAACTTTTGTACCTTGTGGGTTATATTAGGAGTCCTGTAAAGTAGTGACTAAGTGATTTTAATTACATGTGATCCTTGTAAAATCAATTGACGATTTTGAATTCCTTTCCTGGAATGTCTGGTTTTCTCACAATTGGAATCTTTTGACCAAAATTACCAGAGTGGGAAAGCTTTCTGTTGTTTCATTTTTCTTCAGTATAAGATTAGGGTTTTATTGGACTGATACTTTGAAAACAGATTTGAGTATACCTATCAGTAAAGATATTTTAAAGTAGTATCAATTCCTGTACTCTTTTTGGGGGTGGGAGATAGAAAGTTTATGACTTAAAACAAAATTTAAATTTTATTTTAATTAAAAAAATTTTTGTTTCTGTTTATTTATTTTTTGAGAGAGAGACACACACAGAATCTGAAGCAGGCTCCAGGCTCTAAGCTGTCAACACAGAGCCCAATGCAGGGCTCAAACCCACAAACCGTGAGATCATGACCTGAGCAGAAGTCGGATGATTAACCGACTGAGCCACCCAGGCACCCTGCAAAACTGTATTTTATTTATATTTATTTTTTATTTCTGAGAGAGACAGTGTGAGCAGGGGAGGGTCAGAGAGAGAGGGAGGTACAGAATCTGAAACAGGCTCCAGGCTCTGAGCTAGCTATCAGCACAGAGCCCGATGTGGGGCTCGAACCCACAAACTGTGAGATCATGACCTGAGCCGAAGTCGGACGCTTAACCAACTGAGCTAACCAAGTGCCCCAAAACTTTATTTTTAAAACACTTAATACTGGTAAATCTGCAACATTTATTTCAGTTTTTAAAAATCATATTATTACTTTTTAAAAGTCTCGGTTTGACATGTTTTCAGTGTTTAGATAGCCTTAGTAAGTTTAGATGGGTTATATTTATTCATAACATATGAAACTTCCCTATTACTTACAATGTACATTAACTGAAGTACTTAAAATTTTTTTCCAGTGGTTCAACTTGAATTCTCTCTTGACGGGTCCAGAATTGATATCAGACACATACCTTGCACTTTTCTTGGCTCAATTACAACAGGAAGGTAAATAAAGACTGAAATTTTTATAATATTCTCTTTCAAAGTAGCTAAATAAAACCCGCTCTATTAGATGTAAGTGTAACAATGCTGCTTTTACGGCAGGGGCAGCGAAATCATCTTTATGTTTTACTCGGTGAACTTTAATCTGTGACTTGGATGATAGTGTCCAGTTAGAGTTTTCACTGCCACTTGGCCCTCCCCTGAGGTGGCTCCTTCCTTAGCAGGCCCACTAAGTAATGGCTCTTTTTCCTTCCAGACCCCACAGACTCCATGGGCAGGCATGCTAGGTGGGGGCATTCTTGCTTCTCACCCCCTCTAAGCCACTAAAGACTCCAACGCCTCTAAAATATCTGCGTCCCGCTCTTTTCCATTCACCTGTGATCCTTTTTTTCCATGGAACATTTTAGGGTCTGACTCACTGTTTTCTCTCAACTTGAGCTCTTCATTATTCTAAGTGATTTTTACATCAGAAATCCATCCAATTCAGTACCTTTTGATTTTCAAAGACCATTTTTTGCATCTTGCCTTCGCCATTACCATTAGCGGTATCACCTTCAAATCCTAATTGTAAGCATTTTACTCTTTGGCAGTTGTCTCTTTATACCATATTTTCTCTGTTTTCTGCATCCAAAAATTCTTTAAACCCTACCCAAACATACCCCTTATGTCCTCACTTCCCTGCCTGACCCTGCTTATTTCTGTAAGCCATCATTATAGTCAATCTGATACATTTCTCAACTCCGCTTTCCTTCCGTCTATCATACTTCCAGGACAAAATTCCAGCCCTGGCTAAAACTAGATCTTGGGCTTGTCCATTCTTGCATCAGAGCAGCTGAACATGGCTACATAAAATAAAGAGACTGATTTTGTTTTAAATTTATGATCACAAATTTCAAATGATTGTTTAGGACTACTTTTTTTTTTTTTTAAATGTTTTATTTCTGACAGAGACAGTGCAAGCAGGGAAGGGTCAGAGAGAGAGGGAGACACAGAATCTGAAACAGGCTCCAGCCTCTGAGCTGGCTTTCAACACAGAGCCCGACACGGGGCTTGAATCCACGAACCGTGAGATCATGACCTGAGCTGAAGTCAGACACTTAACCGACTGAGCCACCCAGGCGCCCCCGTTTAGGGCTACTTGACATTGCTACCATATTTTCATAGGAAGGTCACTTGCCACTCTCCAAGATGGTTATTTCCCAGTTCCTCTCTTTAGACTTCTAACCACGCACCTCTCCCTGACTCCTAGCTATGACCTTCCTTTGTATTCTACTGACAAAAACAGAAGCAGTGAAAAGAGGGGTGCTAGGTAGCTCAGTCGGTTGAGCATCTGGCTTCGGCTCAGGTCTCGATCTCGAGGTCTGTGAGTTCGAGCCCCACGTCGGGCTCTGTGCTGACAGCTCATAGACTGGAGACTGCTTCAGATTCTGTGTCTCCCTCTCTCCCTCCCACTCCCACAGATTCTTTGGCTCTCGCTCTCGCTCTCTCTCAAAAATAAATTTTAAAAAATAAGCAATGAAAAGAGAACTTCTCCATCTTTCTGTCAGCAAATCTGTCAACTTGCCTATATCCCAGCCTGTGCATTGTGCCTGTTAAAGTAGGTGAATTGTCCCCTGCTCCTGACCAAGACCAGCCTGTCCACTTTGGGGCTGGATTCCTGTTCCTCTCACTTCCTCAGGGTCTTCGCTCTTGCTTTTGTCTGTCTTCTTTCCTGCACGGTCACTTTCCCTTCTTTCTGTATTACTCCTGTCAGCAGAGAAATCAGAAAAAGCTTTTCTCTCCAGGCAAGGCCCGCTGCCTCCCATTGTTAGAGTCCCTCTAGTGCGTTGTCGCCTGTTCTTGAACTCATTCCAGTTACGTTGCCAAAAAAAAAAGTAGAGATAATAATGCAATGAATTCTCATTTACCCTTTATCCAGCTTGAGCAGTTACCTCATGGTCAATCTTATTATACCCATTTCCTTGTCCTGCTAATTTTGAGCATCTTATTTTCTCTGCAATTTTTAAAAAATATTTAAAAGCAAACACTCTTAAGTATATATATGTATATGTGTGCAGATGTATATAAATGTGTATATATATATATCCACAGCACTATAAGCACACAAAAAATTGAGCCACAGTGCTTTAATAACATCAGATACCTAGTCTGTGTTCAAAACTCCAATCTCCTTGGTTGTGTCTTAGAACTTATAGTTACTAGGTTGAATTGAAGTTCACTAATTGCATTGATTGATATGTCTTCCAAGTCTAACTATAGGTTTCCTTACGTCTTTTATCCCCTTGACTTTTTTTTTTTTTTTTTTTTTTGAAGAAAATGGGTTGGGGTGCCTGGTTGGCTTGGTCAGTTGAGAGTCCAACTCTTGATTTTGGTTCAGGTCATGATATCATAGTTCATGAGTCTGAGCCCTGCCTTGGGCTCTGCACTGACAGTACAAAGCCTGCTTGGGATCTTCTCTCTCCTTTTCTCTCTCTCTCTTAAAATAATTAAATAAACTTAGAAAAATAAAAGAAAATGGGTCATTTGTTCTTTCCCACACTCTGAATTTTGCTGATTACACCTTTTTCTCTGAGCCCTGAATACCCAATACTCTGATCTTTAGAGCTGAGACTTGATTAGATTCAGGTTGACTTGGGGGCAGGGTGGAGAGACATTGGAAAACTTCACAGATGGTGTGACATGTGATGTCTGGTTATCTCTCTCTTTTTTTTTTAATATTTATTTTTGAGAGAGAGAGAGAGACAGACACAGAGTGCAAGTGAGGGAGGGACAGAAAGAGGGAGACACAGAATTCAAAGCAGGCTCCAGACTCCGAACTATCAGCACAGAGCCCGACACGGGGCTCGAACCCACAAACCACAAGATCATGACCTGAGCCAAACTCAGATGCTTAACCAACTGAGCCATCCAGGTGCCCCTGGTTCTCTCTCTCTTTGTGATTTGAGCAACTACTGATGATCAGTGCCTGGATCACTTATTTCATTAAGGGTTGCAAAATGGTGGTGCTAGATTCCCATGATGTCTTCACATATTAGCTGCATACTTCTATACAAATAAACTCTCATCAGTTATTTGGTTATTCTGAAGTATAGTTCATATAGGAAAAGCAGAATAAATATTCTTCCGTTTTATAGGTTTTTAAGATGGGTTGGTTTCATAGTGCCCTTCCTCCAAAGATAACCAGTTAGCAAAAATGAAAAAGGGGGGAGACGTGTGGGTGGTCCAGTTGGTTGAGTGTCCAACTCCGTTCAGGTCATGGTCTTGCAGTTGGTGGGTTACCGTTAGCAGGTAAGTAAGTAAATAAACATTCAAAGATAACCTGTTAGTTTGGGGTTCTTTGCCATGGTAAACTAATCCATTAAAACATAGTGTGTGTGATTCAGTCCATTGTGATTTTTCATATTGATACTCAGATTGTTCCACTTGCATGGCAGGGGGTGGGGGAGCACCTTTTGAAGTTGTCTCCTAAGTTCCTGAAATGACCACTGTAGCTTTTTGAAGGCTTTTTTTCTCATAAGACAAGATGCTTCAGGCTTACCTTTTATGTTTCTTGCCCTTTTAGTAATGTGTAAAGCTCAGCCTGGGTGCTAGCATACTTACTGCTACTGGGTTGGTTATCATGTTGTTCTTTCCAGTTCACAGTTAGGAGTATAGTATTTTACTTCTTTGATACCGTATTCTAGTATGTTGCGGTTTTTTTTTTTTTTTTTTTTTATGCCTAAACCGTGGTTCCTAAGTATAGCCCTCCTTTTTGAAACACTGTCCACACTTGGCTTCCAGACCACTGTGCTCTGGTTTTCCTCCTATCTCATTGGCTGCTGCTTTCAGATTCCTTTTGTGGATCTTACTCTCGCCAGTTTCTTATGGTTGAAGTGACCCAGGGGTCAATCCTTGGACAATTTCTTGATTATGGCCTGTCCTATTATTCTTATTGTGCTGTCCTGTTATTTTAAATATCATCTCTAAATAAAATCTCTACACCTATAATTCCTAAACTCCTATTTTCTGCCTACACATCTGCCCTGAACACCAAACGCTTAACTTTGACATCTCCACTTGGGAAGTATTTCAGACTGAACGTGTCTGGAAAATATTTCGTTTCCTTCTTTCTATCTATGTGATTTCCTCAGGTTTTCTGTTTTAGTAAGGTTCTGTGTGCTTGCACTCTGGTTCCTGCATATTATACTGCTACAGGAGCCCAGATTGCTTTTTAAAACACGTAACACACGTTATGGCTCACCCTCTCGTCACCCTTCAGTGTCTTCATGGCATAAGTCTCAAGTAAGACCTGAGGTATTTACTGTGGCACCGAACCCACACAGAGTGTCTGTTCTTTATGATGCTCCTCATGGACTGCCAGTGTGCCTACACATTTACTTTAGGATCTAGAAACAGTTTTACTGACATAGAACGTGCTACACCATCTGAACTCTGAGCACATTTGTCCTTGTTTAAATAAAGTAGATTAACTGTATCATGTACTTGTTCAAAAAATAAATATTAATATGCCATTTTATATTTTTCCAGTACTAGTTCTTTTGACCTTTGTTTTATTCTCTTTTAATACTCACAAAAGATATCCAGTAATGAGCACCAAAGCTTAAGAAAAATCTATGGTAGAAAAACTTAAATTGATTAGAATGACTTAAATATAGTCCACCCATGTTCAGGTTTTGTGTGGAAGATTTTTAAATACTTTTTTTAATGTTTTACTTATTTCTGAGAGAGAGAGAGAGAGAGACAGTGTGAGCAGGGTAGGGTCAGAGAGAGAGGGAGACACAGAATCTGAAGCAGGCTCCAGGCTCCGAGCTAGCTGTCAGCACAGAGCCTGACGTGGGGCTCGAACCCACAAACTGTGAGATCATGACCTGAGCCGGAGTTGGACGCCCAACCGACTGAGCCACCCAGGCGCCCCATGTGTGGAAGATTTAGCTGGGAAAACTCTGGCTTTCTAGGATTACGTTTATAAAAAATTACACTGAATCAGTGTAATTCTTTCAAAATATGAACCACATCATCAACGCTTTGGCTAGATTTTGAGCGTTGATTTCCTAGCTCCAGTATTTAGTGAGAAGGAGTGTGGGGGGGGGGAGGTGTCAGGGTGCGGGGCAGCTATTTCTATAGATTATTCATTTTACCCATATTTTACATTATTACACACGTTGTCTGATTGCATCCTCACAACAGGCCTCTGAGGAAGCTACCAGTATCATCAGTTTAACGGTTCATACACCAAGACATAGCTGGGTAAAGTGATTTACCAGAGACCGTGCTCGGTCTGAGAATTGGAAGAGGTAGGACCAAAACCCTGACAATCCTATTCTGAATTCCTTGCGCTTCCCCATTCCTTCATCCGCCTCTCCAGTACCATTTACTGAGCAGCCTACATGGTCACGCACTGTTTTGGTAGAGACCCTTTGTGGACATCGTGCCGTTTATTTCTCACAGTCAGTCTGTGAGATGGCTGTTCCCATCTTACAGATGAAGGAAGTGGCCCAGAGGCTTTGCATAGTTTGTCCAGGATCAGTAAGTGTAAGAGTCAGGATTTGAACCCAGGTCTTTCTCACTCTTCAGCTGTGTTCTTTCCTCTGTACTGTGCTGCCTTTCTATCTACTATTATTTTAAATCTATTTTTGATTTCTTACTAGCTGTTTTAGTTTATTTTTGCCTTTTATTTATTTTTTTCAGGTTATTCTATATTTGTTGTTAAGGGTGATCTGCCCGATTGTGAAGCTGACCAACTTCTACAGATGATCAGGGTCCAACAGATGCATAGACCAAAACTCATCGGAGAAGAATTGGCACAACTAAAAGAACAGAGGTAAAATCAAGCCTGCAGTATGGAGCATGTGGTAGTATTCCATATTTCATGACATGAATTACTTGTCCATCCTTCCTTCCTTCCTACCCTCCTTCCTTCCTTCCTTCTTTCCTTCCTTCCTTTTTTAAGACTTTATGTTTAAAAGTAATCTCTATACCCAGCATGGGGCTCGAACTCACAACCCCAAGTTCAAGATCATGCTCTCCTGCCTGAGCCAGCTAAGTGTCCCAGGAATAACTTTTTCACGCTCACATTGAATGTGTGGCCCTTTTATTGTTGGTGATTTTTTTTAATGTTTTTTTTTTTATTTTTTTATTTCTAGGAGAAAGAGAGAGACAGCATGAGCAGGGGAGGGTCAGAGAGAGAGGGAGTCATAGACTGAAACAGGCTCAGGCTCCGAGCTGGCAGTCAGCACAGAGCCCGACGCGGGGCTCGAACCCACGAACCGTGAGATCATGACCTAAGCGAAAGTCTGACGCTTAACCGACTAAGCCACCCAGGCGCCCCTGTTGGTGATTTTTTTAGACCTTTTATATTTTTTAGTGAAGTTTATTGGTTCAAACTTGAATTGACTGTTTGAATTGCTTAATTGACTTAGATGCACATCATAGCACAATCTTTATATTATTAGATTATCTGCCAGAAAATGTGTAATTTTTGATTTATAGAAAATCTTTGGGAGCCCCTGGCTGGCTCAGTCAGTGCAGCATGTGACTCTTGATTTTGGGGTTGTACGTTCGAGCCCCACGTTGGATGTAGAGATTACTTAAAATTAATTAATCTTTAAAAAAAATTATTCAGGGGTGCCTGGGTGGCTCAGTGGTTAAGTGTCCGACTTCAGCTCAGGTCATGATCTCATGGTTCATGGGTTCGAGCCCCGCGTTGGGCTCTGTGCTGATAGCCAGCTCAGAACCTGGAGCCTGCTTCAGATTCTGTGTCTCCCTCTCTCTCTGACCCTCCCCTGCTCATGCTGTCTCTATCTCTCTCTCAAAAATAAATAAAATAAAATAAACAAGATTAATTCTATGACTATATTCTGTATTCTTTTTAAAAAAATTATTGAAAAATGTTTTTAATTTCTAAAAGTCTCTGTTTTATCTAAAATAGAAGACTGGCCTGCAGTTACTGTCAGTGTTTTTGTCCTTTAGAATCCAGAAAACAGATCTGCAACGAGTCTTAGAAGCAAATGACGGGTCAGGCATGTTAGATGAAGATGAGGAAGATTTGCAGAGGGCACTGGCCCTGAGTCGCCAAGACATTGACATGGAAGATGAAGAAGCAGATCTCCGCAGGGCGATTCAGCTCAGTATGCAAGGTACTGACTCTCCGGTGCACGCTCCGCTGGTTGTTGAAGGAGTCAGATTATCCTCAGTTCCCCTGGAAGTTAATGCACTATTGGTAGAAGTTCTTTGATGATTATTGTAGAAGCAATAACTATGTACATGCGATCAGCTGTTTTCTTGTGATTTAAGTAACTTTTTACAACGTAAGTTATATTAGGATTGGTTATATTTTTATTCTGGTTTTTCCATTTGGTCAAAACACAGTAACAGAACAATGATAACCTGAAGTTAATCTCTGTGGGCAAAAGTGGGGGGCAGGATGGGGGATGTCTTACCCAGACCAGTTATTTTGTAAATGTGTACTGTTGGATACAAAGGAAGGCCTGGTCAGAAAAATTTCAACAGCGGAGCACTCAGTGGCTGTGTACCTCACGGGTTAGTGCACTTCATGGACCCACTGTGATGGTGACATAAACCCACTAGCAGAGGAGAGTGAAGGTGTGTCCCCTCGGGAATCCAGGTAGCGGGGGTTGTCTGGGAGATAGCTCAGAGAGGCTTACTGAAAAGTATGTGTGGGGTTTGGGCAGTTTTGTTTTCATCTAATTAATATGTAAATTTGCCTTCTACTTTCTTAATGAGATGATTCAGTGGGATTTCTTAAATACTTGAATAGAACTGCGGTTCCATTACTGTGAAGGTTATCCTTTTTATACTCTATGTTGTCTTGAACTTCTCACGCCTCCTGGCACAGCTCGGAGAGCTTTGTCCATGCAGTCCCATTTTTGATTAGTAAGAGTCCTGCTGGATTAACCCAGTAATGGACAGACGACAGCTTTTTATAATTTTAGATATTTTTGTGTCATTTGCTTTTCTTCACACTTTATTTCACAATCGGGGCAGGATCTCTGGGACACACACTTGAAATGTTGTATCATGCAGATATTGTAGGAGAGAGGAGTGCAGAGAATGGGTTCATACTCACCCACTTCACATTGCTTCTAGTAGCAAGTGCCAGGGCACTTCTGGTAAGTCAAAGAGGGCCACAGTGTGGTGTGGTGTTAACGGCTCTTCCTAACAGGCTGGCTGTTTGTTGGACTCACAACCTCACATCCGCTGCCTCACAGGTGGGTGTGGGCACAAGTCGTATTGGAACTGCCTCATTCATATTGTCCATGAGACTTTCTTCTCTTTACAACACAGCACAGTATTTTTAAGAAAACAACTTTTTAAAAGCTTGCTCAAAAAGTATGAACATAGCATTGCTTGAATTGGTAAATAAAAATGATTGTTTTTTTCGTTCTGTTTTCTTTTTTTTTCAGGTAGTTCCAGAAATGTATGTCAAGAGATTCCACAGACATCAGGTACACATCTTACTTCAGAAGAGCTACGGAAGAGAAGAGAAGCCTACTTTGAAAAGTAAAGTAGTTGGTACAATATTAAAATTGCATATTTACTGTGTACTTTGTTTTGTCTACAGTTTATACACATAGAGCTTTGGCTTAAACTATTTTATTTAAGATTCTCTCCTTTTAAATGATGGGTTACTACCTGAATTCTGTGAACATCTGAGTTTTGTTTTATTTTTTAACTTACAGCAGACAAATAGAAATGGTATGCAGTTTCAGGGGGAAAGACTGCCTCAATGCTAATTAGGTTTATATGAAATAGGTTGAAGGAAACCCAGTCAAATTTAAGTCATCCAAAGAAAATGGAATTGGACCAAAGCAAGAACAATGCCTAATAGTCCTTTGGATGTGCTTCTTGGTTACCTGAGCAACCTTGCAAAGTCCTGCTGTCAGTTAACAGGGAAGACAGCACTGTGGTGAGGAAGCATATGCCCTGGTAGTGGTGGTGGTTAATTGTCCTTCTTATTGCCACTTTTTAGGGGTTACTGCGGGCCTGTCCACATCAGGGACATGGGGGCAAACCATAAATCCTAAAACCTAAATCTGTCAGTGCTCTCAAATTAGAAAATAAAAATTATCATCCTTTCCAGTAACTACCATTCACAACTCATCTTCCCTTTTTCTTTTTTTAATGATTAAAGAAAAGGTTACAAGGTAGTATTTAGATAGGATAGTCAATCCTCTGATCCCAGATCAGAAACCAAATGTCCAGTGGCGTGTTCACTGTATTTCGTCAATTCTGAGATGTTCATATTTTCACATTTCAACATTTCTACAGTTGAGGAGCATCTTGCAGTCATAATTGGCAGTATTTGTTGGAGCTAAACTATTGGGAGCATTATGACGGTATAATGAAGATAATATTTACCTTGTTTTCTGTTTTAAGTTACAACTCAGAAGTATATGAAGGAAAGTTCTGATCAACTGACATCCTCTTAATGTGAGATATTTCTAGTCTTTATTCAGTGATAGATTAATGGGTTTAATTATATAAAATATCAAAATAGTGCTTATTAGTGCTTTTCACTTCCTTTCAAATTTTAAAATGAACTTTATTTTTTTTTAATGTTTTATTTATTTCTGAGAGAGAGAGCGTGAGCAGGGGAGGGTCAGAGAGAGAGAGGGAGTCACAGAATCTGAAACAGGCTCCAGGTTCTGAGCTAGCTGTCAGCACAGAGCCCAACGTGGGGCTCAAACCCACGAACCGTGAGATCATGACCTGAGCTGAAGTCAGACGCTTAACCAGCTGAGTCACCCAGGTGCCCCTAAAATGAACTTTAAAAATGTTTAATTATGATACACTTCAGTTACCTATAAACGTAGAGAAACCAGCATAATGAACCCCTCTACCCATTGCTCGTATTTAACAAATGCCAACACACGGCCAGTCTTGGTTTTCTGTGTCCCCATCTCTCATGCTTTCTACTCTCCCTCCCCCAAGCTGGGATTATTTTGTAACAAATCTAAATGATTGTATTGTCTGACCCCATTTTTTGGGAAGATAGCCAAATGCTATTGTCACACTGTTAATAATTATCTCATGATAATTCTATAATGTCATCAGATGTGTAGTTAGTGTTAAAAAATAACTTAAGGGGCTGGCTCAGTCAGTGGAGCATGGGACTCCTGATCTCAGAATTGTAAATTCAAACCCCATTTGGATGCACAGATTACTTAAAAATAAAATATTAAAAAAAAAAAAAACTAATTAGGTAAAAACTTGCATTTTAAGATATATCAAAATTAAAATAATCCTATCTTTTGGCACATCTGGGTGGGCGGCTCAGTCAATTGAGCATCTGGCGCTTGGTTTTGGCGTAGGTCATAATCTCACAGTTTGTGGGTTCAGGCCCCTTGTTGGGCTCTGTGCTGAAACAGAGCAGAGCCTGCCTGGAATTCTCTCTCCTTCTCTCTCTGCTCCCCCTTGCTTATGTTCTCTCTCTTTCTCTCTCTCTCTTTTCTTCCCTCCCTGTCTCTCCCCTTCCCTCTCTCTCAAATAAACTTTAAAAAATTCTTTATTTTAATAACTAACGGTATTTTGACACATTCTCTGCTCACACAGACACGCATATATGGTATATTAGTACACCCATTTCCCATAATAGTGTAGTCTTAGTAGTACGTTGTGTGATAGTTTGTAAAGTGACCATATGTATCATAATTTATAAGTGAACCCTTGATTTTTGCTATTATAATTAATAGTGCAGTGAACGATCCTTGTACTAATGCTGTGCCTCAAGTTTCTCATCATTTCTTCCAGTTATTCTGACGTTTTGGGGTTAAAGGACAGAAACATTTTTTTTAAGGTCTTGGTATAGATTTCTAAACTTCTTTCCAGAATGGTTCTCAAATGATACTTTTATTATGCTTCACATTCTGTTTTTTCCCAGAACAAATTGGTGCAAACAGACATACTTTATAGACAAACTGCAAAATTCACAAGTAGATCTAAGGAAAGGAAAACATCTTTCAAGTAGAAAAACAAATCCCTTTTTTATTTAAAAAATATTTTTAGGTTGGGGAAGCCTGGGTGGCTCAGTCAGTTGAGCATCCAACTCTTACCTGAGGCTCAGGTCATGATTCCAGGGTCATGGGGTCAAGCCCTGTGTCGGACTCTGCTGAGCGTGGAGCCTGCTTAAGATTTTCTGCCCCGCTCCCCCGCTTATGTGCATGCTTTCTCTTTCTCTCTCTCTCAAAATTTAAAAAAAAAAATTTTTTTTTAAATGTTTGAGCATCAGTGTGGTGCCTTCATGGTTGGAGGACAGTGGATTGGGAAGGATAGCGTGCAGTGGTGGCTTCCAGCTTCAGCGCCATCCTCCGCTCCCTGGTGTGACTTTCCAAATACTGGCGGGAGGGTGGGGGTACTGGAGGGTATCTTAGAGTCTCTGAGAAGGACTCAGAACTAACTTCTTAGAATTTCTCTCCACCATGGTCTAGCTTCAGAATCTTGTTAGGCTCAGTAGTAAAGGACCTGAGGAACAGCAGTGGTTTCAGATACTAGGCCTTGCACTCGAATTCCTGATTATGAAGCCTCCAAGTTCCCTCTAGCTTCTGTCTTTGGGAACTCAGCTCCAAGGTTACCGAGCTCTTCTCTCTGATCCTCTCCAGACTGACGCCGGTGCTAACCGTTATTCAAACAAATTTTGAATTCAAATTCAGGTTGGTTTTTTTTTTTTTTTATTATTCAAATAGTTTATTTTGTTACTCATTCTAATAGTTTTTTTCTTACGGAGTATTTGAAGCTTCCTGCCTAATGTAGTAACCACAGTATCCATGCTTGATCAAGCGTAAACATACTGTTTAAAAACGTACCTGTTACAAAGTCATAGTTTATGAATGAGTGCTAAGTAATATTTTCACAACCATGGTTTTTTTTTTTCCAGTAAAAATCTCTAAACTCATTTTACCTATTGTAAAGCCCAAGTAAAATTCTTACTATACCGGCAGTGTCAGTGTAAAACCTACCAAATTCACAAATTGAGCATCTAATTAGGCAGTGCGTGTAAAACTGTCATGTCAACCGTAAAGTATTCCACAGATGTGTTAGCACTATTGTCTTCTCAGACGTAGCTCTGAAATGATGCAGACTCTTTCCTTCTGTTAGTAAAAAAGTGTTACCCAACAGAGAGGCGCTTACCAGACATTGTTTCCATGGTCCTGGGTTGCTGTGAGTTTTTCATTGTCTAACACTTGAGCCACCACTCTAGTGGCACGGCGTAACGGGATTCATGTTAAGAAACAAGCTACTAGAGGTATTTTAAGCAGTAAAGGGTTTAGTATAGAAACTCGGGGATTATACATTCTCAGGAAGAGCGGGAGGTGCAGGATATAGTCAGGCTTCCAGAATTCCACAGCCCGGCCTATTGGAAGAGCTTCAGCTGCTGCCCCAGGTGCGAGGATGGGGAATCAGGACACGGAGTTCAAAAATATGTTGCTGTGGCTGTGACCTGAGGGTCGGAAGCTTTCCACCACAGTTGCCTAGACATGGAAGCAGGGAGCGTGCCCGCCTTCCCCCAGCCCCTGGCGGCTGCTCCCTGGCCTGACTCCCCTGCAGACGACAGCCAGAACAGCAGCCAGAGAGCAGCCAGAGCAGCAGCGGATGGCTGGGCTTTGTGTCTGCCGCTTGTCAGGTGGTCACCAGGTCCTAGCCGTGCGCTGACCTCGGGTGGTGGTTTAGCTTCTGGCCTCCCTGATTCCAAGGGCACGTGCTGGCTCGCCCTCTGAACAGGTTGCATCTTATCATGCCAGCAAACACGAGAGGCTCCAGGATCGATTCAAGGTTGGCAATTCCTTTATTTCCCACTTTTCATAAATTTAAAGCGGAATAAGGGCTGTCCCTGTCTTGTGTTCTGACATATTGGCTTGGCTGGAGGGGCAGGGGCGTGGAGATACCTGGTCCGCTGGGCTTCCTCCTGCCTGGCGGCCCATCGTGCTCTGCACACCCTGTTCCTGGGAGGAGCTGCGGGAGCCTGCCCTTCTGTGGGCTGTCAGCCACACGTGCCCAAGAATAAACTGAGGCAGACGGCAGTATGCTTAGGTTTTCCTTGTTGCACGTATTTAAAACGGAAGACTGAGACTCTGGAAAAAATAGTGTGCTATTCTATATATAGTGTTGCTGGCCAATTTAACATTCTGGTTCCTTGAAAAATCCTTCTACTCATTTTTTGAAAGCTATGGCTTCCCACCCCAGCTGTTTAGAGGTTTTATTTTTTTCAGTTTCAACATAGTCTGTATGTATTTTATGAAATAATTTGGAATTGAAAGCACAACTTGTTCCCAGAACTCCTGAGACCTTTCACCCAAATTCCCTAATTGTGGACATTGCTGAGGAATTTGAGAATAACTTGCACACACGACTTCCCAGTACATTTCAGTACTTCAGCGTATATTTTTAAGTATAAGGACACCGTCCTACGTATTTACATTCTAACCATCGTGTTTAAATGTTGGAAAATATGGATTTTTCTGACATTGTTTACCCTTCCACAAAAAAAATCCAGGGAAAATTTATTTTAATGTAACAAGTGGTACTGAAACTTGATAATGCACCTTAAAACATTATTTAACTTCTTTTCATTCATCAAGTGCTTGGTGAATATGTAGGGTAGCGTTGTAGGCACTAGGGAAATAAGGTTTGTGCTTCTGTTAGTTTACCCTCCAGAGAGGGAGGCAAAGAGAATTATCAGATGGTGATAAGATGATGCTGGAACTTGGAGGAGAGGGTGAGAATGGCTGGTGGCTGCTGAGAATGGCTGGTGGCTGCTGTAGGGGGTGGCCAGGAAAGGGATCTCGGAGGACGTGCTGAAGTTTGGGCCCAGATGACAAGGAGGCAGCCATGATGGTAATTTGAGATGCTTAACATTCTCAAAGGTACCTATTTCCAGCGATTTCCACAATGTTAAGGATCTGTGAGCCAAACCATCTGCCTGAGGATAGCTACCAGCAAATGCTTTCGTTTTTGTATTATTTTATGGTGAATATCTTCACCTGTTAATTTGCCTGATAATTCAGATTTTATGTCTCCGTCTCCTAGGATCAGCACTGTGCTACTTTTAAGCAATGTGTATCAGTGATGGCTCTGGCATCCTGTTGTGAGGGTCATGACTATGACCCTCTTGGTTTGTGGAACCATTTGTTTTCCATGCAAAGTTTTTCTCATGGTATATTTATTCTCGGGGTTTGGTTTTTTTTAATGTACACTCACCTTCGGATGTTTCAGGCAGCAGCAGCAGCAGCAGCAGGACCCACCGGCACAGCTTTCCCACCCGTGTGAGAAGCCAACCACAAGTTCAGGTGCACTGGGCAGTGATCCAGGTAGGCCTCCCTGACCGTGCTGTTTGACACGGGCTCCTTGTGCTTTGTGGCTTGACAGGCTTTTTTCTCCCCTTCTGAATTACACCAAAACTCCCGTATGAATTTGTAATCTACTAAATTTCCTTAGATTAAGAAGCAGGCAGACTGCTGGATTTGTTGCTTTAAAATTATAAACAGTACTTGTGACTTCGCAGTAATTATTACATCTTCCAAAAGTTCCTCAGAGATAAAGAATGTTGGTAAGGGGAAGATAAATACCCTTTACCATCTGGAAAACTGAAAATGCCCAAGTGGAGTCTCAGTAATAGGAAATCTAGAGTTATTGATCAGGCTGTGGTTTAATAGGTCCTAAACTTTGGTCAGTTACTGGTAGTACTAGCTTAGTGAAAAAGCAACTGTGTGACAAAGGCCTTGTAAGCAGAATATGTGAAGAACTCTCAAAACTGAAATAAGGAAACTCAAGGGGGCAAAGGATTTGAACAGATACTTCACCAAAACATGGTTGAGAAATGAGCATGTGAAAATACGGTCAATATTAATACTCGTTAGGGAAATGCAAATTAACGCTACATACCTTGTTATAAAAATGAGATACCATTACACACCTTATGATTAGAATGGTTTAATAAAAAAACAAAGTTGACAATACCAAATGCTGACTAAGACCGCGGTTACCATGACACGCATGTATTGTTAGTAAGAATGTAAAAGGGGACAGCAACTTTGGAAGATGGTTTAGTATTTTCTTATAAACTGAAATGTCCCCTTAACCATGTGATTCAAGAGTCCCACTCTAGGTACGCAACCAAGAAAAAAGTAAACTTAGGTTCACAGGAAAACTTGTATGGGGATGCTCATAGCAGCTTCCTAATTGTCAGAAACTCGGAGCTACCTAAATGTCCTTCAGCTGGTGAATGGATGCACATCTGTGGCACCTTCAAACAGTGGACCATGTTTAACAATAAAAAGGAATGAACTGGTGCTTTTTCCAATTCCTCCTGATATTTATAGCTAACAACCGCAGACATTTGTATCAAACAAACATAAGAAACATCCTGAAGGGTAGAGAGGAGACAGACTGCTTAAGAGGCTCGGGCCCAGAGGAATGACATGGTGTGTAGCCTGGGTTTTCACTTTGCCTCACACACCCTGGGTTTGGTGAAGAAGCCATGGTGCAGACCAAGTAAAGCCTACTCTGTGTCGTCAGAAGGGACTACTTAGCGCATAAAAACTTTTATATACTAAATACTCTAGTCCCACCCAACAGGATCATAAAGTGGCCTTGTCGTCACCCCACTGCCTCAGCATGGGCCACGTGGGAGCACAGGCTGGTATCCCCAACTGGTGGCACAAGGTGTACCTCCCGCTTCCCCTGGCTAGGGTGGTGTCAGAGAAAGCCAAGGTGGGGAGCTGGGATTTTTGTTTCCTCCAGGAGAGAATGAGAGGCCCTGTCCCTTGGTGTCCATGGTCATTGGGAGCCTAGACTTCCACCCAGCCATACGAGGCATCCCTCTGGTTTCCCGTTGAGTAGTTTCAAAAAGAAGCCTCGTGGAGAATTAGGAGGCAATGATTCGAGGCAGTAACTCCCACAGTGTCCGTGAGAGGCTGTCAAGAGGCGTTCCTACCCTTCCAGTCAGGGGGATCTTAATGGAGGACATTGGGGAGCCAGAAGTCCTGCGTGTGCACAGTGGTCACAATTGCACACGCACTCCCTCTCTGGCCGCAGCAAGGCAACAGTCTCTCCCCCACTGGTGCTGTGTCAGAAGAGGCCTGCTGGAAGAGAAGATTTAAGTAAGACTCACGGTCTCGTAACATGCAGCACAGCAGATGCCTAGGATTTGATCAGAAGTATCTATCATACCAAGAGCCAGAAAAAATTCAACTTGAGAAAAGACTGTTCATAGACACCACTACCTAGATGACACTGATGTTAGAATTAATCTCACAAGCATTTTTATTATATATTGTTTTTTTATTTTATTTGTTCTGAGAGAGGAGAGAGTATGAATGGGAGAGGGGCAGATAGACTGGGAAGAGGGAGAGAATCCCAAGCAGGCTGCGTACTGTCAGCGCAGACGCTGACACAGGCTCGATCTCACAGACCATGAGATCACAACCTGAGCCAAAACTAGAGTTGGACACTAACCAACTGAGCTACCTGGGCGCCCCTCACCCAGGTGAGGGGTGCACCATGAAACTCTCGGTGGATGAGGAGGATGGGGCTGAAAAAGTATTCGAAGAAATGACGGCTAAAAGTTCCCAGCTTGGGCAAAAGATCTAAAACCAGATTTAATAAACTGAGTAAATCTCTAACAGTTAAGCCCAAAGAAATTTATGCCAAGACGTGATAACCTAGCTTTTGAAAAGTGAAACAAAAGAAGCAGCTCTTGAAACCAACTAGAAACATCTTGCCCGTAGCAGTTTGCATGGCAGCAGGTTTCTCATCTGAAATCACGGAGATCACTGGGAAGAGGCACAACATTTTTCAAGTACTGAAAAGAAGACACTCTCAACCCAGAATTCCCAGTGAAAATTTCCTTCAGAAATGAAGAGAAAAATTAAGAGAACTTCTCACCAGCAGACCCACCCTAAAGTAATGGCTAAGTGAAGCTTTCTAAACAGAAATAATAAGAGAACTAGGAACCTCAGAAAGGAAAAAAAAAAAACAAAACACAGTAGAAAGTAAAAATATGGGTAAACAATAGATGCTCCTCTCCTTTTGAGTTTTCTAAATTATGTTTAACGATTGAGGCAAGAATTAGAACATTGATTTGGTTCTTAGCGTCTATGTAGAAAATATTGCGAGAGTAAAGGATGTAAAAGGAGGTGAAGTTTCTACATTTCAACTACGATAGCCAGTCTGGAAAACAGCTGGTCATTTTCTTTAAAAACCGAACAAGTACTAACCACACAACCCAGCAATTAGACTCGTGGGCATTTACCCCAGAGAAATGACAACTTAGCCGTCCATGCACAAACCTGTACAAAGATGTTCAGAGCAGCTTTGTTTCTCATGATCAAAAACTGGAAACAACCACACTGTCCTACAGGAAGATGAATGGTCAAATGAACCGTAGTACATCCGTGGAGGACTAGTCAGGACTAAAAAACAAAACGGCTGTTGATAACCTGCCACAACTTGGATGAGTCTCAAGGGCATTAGGCTGAGAGCAGACGAAAATCTCAAAAGATCTCATTACAGCGTGATTCAATTTGGGTAACATTCTAAAAATGACAAATTTGTAGAGGTAGAGAACAAATTAGTCGGCTGCCTGCAGTTAGGGAAGGTCGGGGCGGAGAAGTGGGTATGAATCAGAGGCGAGAGCAGGAAAGAGATCTTTGTGGTACTCGAACAGTTCTCCGTACCAATAATGGTGCTGGTGGCCACATGGATCTACACATAGGATAAAACAGCATGGCCTGACACACTACTTTGTACCACTGGCATATCCAAGTTTGGGTGTGAGCCGTAGTTACATAGGATTTAGTTATTGAGTGAAATTGAGCTGAAGTGTACACAGGACCATTCTGAACAGTCTTTGCAACTTCCTGTAAATAATTATTTCAAAGCAAAATTTAAGTAACAGATTACATATATGTACAACTAAGTTCAGTCTTCTTTCACAGCATAATGCCCTTATTGTGAAACATAGAATAAATGTATTCTGGGGATTGACCGCAGAGGGGCAGCACAAGCAAATTTTGGAGGGCGGTGGGGCAGTTCTGCCTCTGGGTGGCGATACTGGTTCTGCAGCTCTGCGTGCTTGTCAGAACTTGTAAAGCTGTAAGTGAACACACGTTACTTTAAATAAATATTAAAAGTCAAAACAGGAAGTTATAATAGTCAAACTAAAATACATTCTCTAGGAGCTTACCTTTTGATGACTTTGAGAAATTTCCAGAAATGTCTAAGAGATATGCTTGTTTTCTTTCCCAGCAGGAGATGCTATGAGTGAAGAAGACATGCTTCAGGCGGCTGTGACCATGTCTTTAGAAATTGTTAGAAATAATTTCAAAACGGAAGGGAAAAAATAATACCTTTTATAAATCATTTAGACATTCATTCTTTCCAACATTATCCTGGGTGATTACAGCATAGAGGGTCCATTTTAGTAACGTGTCAAAGAAACAATGTTCAACAGAGGAAATAAGATTTAAGGCGGTTTGCAACAAAAAGATGAGAAAGTGGAAAAATGTGCCAGTTGTAGGACTAAATAATGACCCTCCAGACACTAGCCAAAGAGGCATTTAGCAATTAAAGAAATTTAAAATAGTTTTCTAAATGTTCCTTTTCTTTCCAAGTGTGCAATATCTAACATGTCTCAAGTTAGGGCATTTTTCTTGGATCTTTTTGCAAACCAACTAATTAGCTCTTGCGCAGAATTTTTTCCATACGTTTTCTTTTAATCCTTTCAGCTCTGGTCAGTTGGCTCCCTTTTTCATCATCTCTTAGTTGCTTTTATCTCTCATTAACCAAGTTAACCTTTTAGGACAGTGTCTCTTTTCTGTGTGGATAGTAGTAATGGTTCCAGAAGGATTAGCTGCTTTCCCTCCAGTTACGTAGTGTGCCCTGCCCTTGGATGTTTTCTGCTGTTACTTTCTCTGATCACAATTTCTTGGGGACTTGGTTTTCCTTACTTTTCTACAACTCTTTTGAAAGATGGTAATCTTTCTTGAGGTTTTGCTTTCTAAGCCCTCTACGATGGGATCATTGTTTCATGATTCGGAAGCATTCCTACACTCTGAAATCAACTCTGTACAAGTATTTGAGAATTTTTTAATGATATGAGCACATCCTTTTCCAGATGCTTTTTGAATGTCTTCTCAATTATGTCAGACCTTTTACAGCTTTGCTGTAACCCTTTCTCTGGCGCCTTGGTTTTTCCTTGTCTTCTCCAATTGAGAAAAATAGGGAGAAGCATAATATGCAAGCACGTTTCCTTCTGTGTAAGACTTAACAAGTAATACCCACCATGAATGTATGAGACAAAGTTTGGCTTTTGATTTAGTTGCGGTTTCATTTTCTTCTCTCCTGTGCCTGGAGCTGTCCGTTGTGGAGCCACAGGGCGTAGACATCTGCCTCTGCTGTACATCATGTAGCGGGATAGATAGCTTGCTGGAGATGATAGTCTGGAACACGAAAATAATCTACTAACAAAAATATATTCAAATTTATACTATGACTTGACACTCGCATCATGTTTAAATAGCTAAAGAATTAGAGAAGTCACACAGTAGTCACTGGGTCTGTAAATACAAAAGTCTTTAGTTTTGATAAACATTCTTTAATTGGGATGCACAGAGAGTTTGTTGCTGGGTCAATACAGTCGTATGATTTTGGTGAAAATTAACTGTCTCTGTGAAATGGACATTTCAGATTCCATCACTTATTCCCCATCCCTCATTCTCCATCCCCCCTTTTGAAGCTCTTTTGAATGTTGAATCGTTCATAAGCTAGGAAATCGTTCATAAGCTGAAAATTAGGAAATTTCAGCTGACAGCTTAGAACATTAAAGTATGATGTGTTGCCATGACTAGTGTGTGGCTGTATACATTTTATCAGGGAAATTTTTTGGATCTCGGATTTATGGCTGAGAAGAAAAGAGATGAGGAAACGACTTTTTATCATTATGAAGTAGCTTTTTTCTTTTTGTATAGAGACACATTATTTTTAGTCATTATTTTGTGCCAAATAAAGTTTTCTGAAGTTTCCCTTGCACAATTAGGCAGTTTTCATTTAAAATCTTAAGTGTTCTTTTGAGAACTGAAAAGGGTTTCCGTAGGGTCATGAGACTTCAGAACGGCAGGGACGTTGTTGGGGTTTAGTCCTGCTCTCTCAAGATTTACAAACCAGGATATTTTAAGGCTGAACATTTCTGTCGTTATCCCCAGGAAGCTTGTCCTGTTTTTTACGGATATTTGGGTTTTACCTTTTCCCATTGAAAAATTACATTTGACTTTCCGTACACTTGAATGGATGAGCTGCCTAATATAAAATGAGAAAAGAAATATGCAGAAAGTTTTAACCTTAGAGTTTATAAAGTTGTTCTATTACACACCTTAATTAAAGTACTTAAGGAAATATATAGCTTGTTGATCTTCGTTTAGGGATTTTTTTTTTTTTAAGCAGAGCTGAGGACACACTGGATACATTTGTGAATGTGTTTATTTACTTTCTTATGATTGTTACATTCAGCAGGGAGATCCAGAATGACTAGGGGACTGCCAATTTGTTTGAATTGGCTTAAACTTAATTTAGATTCCATTTCTTAATCAATTGGCTAGTATGAAAAGATGCCAATGCCGGTAACTACAGTATCAGAAAACTTAGTTACACAAAAGTGTAGTTCACACATCTGGAACTGCTGTTTACTGGCATAATCCTGCAAGAAAGTCAGGAACAATGAAATTCACAAAAACTGTCCTGCTAAAAACTATATAAAGCTTTCCATTCTGTTTTACTAATTGGGAACACCTTAATGTTTAATATTTAAACTACCGGTATCATTTTTCTAATGTATAAGTTGCATTACCAGGATAAAATACGTATAGTGGTGATGCTAGTGTTTAAACCGTAAACAAGTTTTGGAAACACCACTTTCATATTTTGAGATGCTATGGATTTTAATAAGTAGGTATTTATGTCTTTAAAATTCACAGCAGTTAAAAAAAACTCAGCAGTTAACCTCTGATCTAAAACCATCAATAAATACTTTTTATAGTAATTAACATAAAATATTTCAATAATGCAATTGTTTGAAAAGATTGCTGCAGGTAAACTATTTTAAGATCGTGGTCAAATAATTCACAATTCACAGAATATGTAAGAGGTGCTTTTTTTCTTTAAAACTTGATTTTTCTTAATTAAGACTTTATTCATGCCAAAGTTAATAAGGAAAAAAGCTCAAAACTGGTTGAAGATCATTATAGGTAACACTACCAATAGTCTGTGTTGTTTCATTTAATATTAAGTTGAACAAGGTAATTTTTATTCCTGTCAGAGCCTAAATTACAGTTTTAATGTCTGCATGTTTGATATTCCTTAAATAGTACCATGCGAGTGCCAAGATTTATTAAATGTCTTAAAAATTGGCCCATTGGACCCATGCAGATTCAAAGAAGACTGAGTCTGTGCATAAGCAAAATAATAGTGATAGAAATTAAAATATCTACCGTTGAAATCTAGGTTTTTAAATTCTCGAAAGGACTCAATAATTAATATTGATGACTTCCTATTAAGTTTAATTGCAACTGAAAAGCCCAAGTGGCCACTACTCTAAATTGTTGGTTGTATCTGAGCCCTAACAAATATGGAGATATTATATATGTTATCTTAATTAAGAAAAACCAGATTGGATCAACTAATCATTTCAGCGGTGTAGATAATTTTTATATTTTCAAATGAAAACTTCCCTTTATTCCTGGTCCCTTTATAAACCAGTGTTTTTTTGCTAAAGAAATGAACTGGCTTGTATTTTTTAAAGTCTTATGCTTAACAAAAATATTTTGTTCCATTTTGCTTTCATGAATGAAAAGATGATTGATATGGTTGTTTAATTCTTGAAATTTGATTTTTTTTTTGAAGAAAATCTATGCTATTTTTGTTTTCCCAAAATGTTCTGGCATTTTAAGAATTAATGCTAATAACATCACTTCTAAATTTACAGTAATTGGGCTTCCATGTTTAATTAATAATAGTGTATCAGTAAATGTTTTAAGACTGGATTTGTAGACAAGGAATGGGAAGCAATAGTGAAATATATGTGGGAATTTCTGACTCATTCAGGGAGCACTCCCCTTGTTTCTTGCATAGTTCAAAGATTGAGTGCTTCCAGGGATTTTTTTAGTTTTTTTTTTTAAAGAGAAGAGCGTCCATTTGAATGTGAACAATAGAATTTCTACAACACTGGACTACTAGAAATAACTTTTTAAAAATTACTGTTGTGTGTAAATTATTTGAAATTCAAGTACAAAACACACCTGAAAAAGCGTTGTCTTTTTGGCCACGACACAAGGGCAGTGCCGTTTGCTCAGGACCCAACTGCGCAGCCCTCTGGGTGTGTTCCTCTCCCTGGACTTCTCCCGCGGTTACCACACACACAGGCCTTCCTGTCTGGTCCTTAGAAAAGCCTGGCTTCCAAAGCACTGTTGAACACTGAGGGTTCTCTTGTACATGTGGATGTTCAATGAGTTGTATTTTAAATATCAAAGATTATTAAATAAAGATAATGTTTGCTTTTTTATTTCTGCTTTCATTTGTATTTATTAATTCCTAGCCTTGCTCTGCAAAGTACGGTCGAAGGACCAGCAGCGTCTGTACCCCTGCGAGCTTTTCAGAAACGCAGAGCTCCAGGCCACAGCTACGGAGCCAGAACCTGCATCTTTAACAAGGCCCCCAGGGAATTCACATGCAGATTCAAGTTTGAGAGGCCTTGCTTTATGGGCTGCTTGGCACTGATCCTCCGTTCCAGCTAACTGCTGCCGAAGGGCCCATAATTACTGGATCCTCTGGTCTTTAACAAGGGACCCTAAGAATTCCAAATTTTTACTTGACATCTGATGGTTACATGGTTTCTCAATTGGCTTTTAACCCTGAGGGCTAAACAAAGCACATTAGTAACAGTTTTTAAGAGTACTGTTTTTTCCTCATTTTATCCAATTCTGGACACCAGAATCCAGCTGTAGTGATTGGAATCCACTTGAACTGATGAAGAGTTCTAGGATACTCAAATTATAATGAGGGTTGTATATCCATTTTATCCTTAATTACGGTTGGGCACAGATGTCGAAATAGAATATTTTCAAATTTTGCACCTTTTTAGCAAAACCTCAGCATAATGCTTAGAAGGACCATTTCATTGAATCTGGATGCCACCAAATGGTTCTCATCTCACCAACACCTACTTTTGGGCTCTATGAAATATGTTGACTCAAAGGCTCATTTTATAGGTCAGCTAAAAACTTAAACTTTTAGGGGTGCCTGGGTGGCTCAGTCGGTTAAGTAGCCAACTTCAGCTCCGATCATGATCTCAGCATGTGGGTTCGAGCCCCACATCGGGCTCTGTGCTGACAGTTCAGAGCCTGGAGCCTGCTTCGGATTCTGTGTCATCCCCCCCACCCCCGCCCCTTCCCCACTCACTCTGTCTCTCAAAATAAACAAACATTAAGAACATTTTTTAAACTTTATCTTCTATAAAGGGAATTTGACAGTTGTCTTTATCCTGAAGATTTGCATGTTTGAGGGCCCTTTAACCATTTTGTATCTGTGTCACCAAATGCTCACAAGTTCATTTTTTAAGTAATTTGGGTCAGGTTGACCTCTTGACATGTCTCCTTTACACGTTGTGGTCCTAGCCGGCCTCCTTACGGGTCTTCAAATAATCCCGGCCCTCTCCCGCTACCCCTCTCCCCCTCAGGTGCTCTATAACATTCTCCTTGCCCCCTTCCCTTTGCTCTTTTGCTCTTCCTGCCCCTGATGTTTGTTGGCCATCCTCTGCCAAGAGAACTCTTTCACTGGGACTACTGCCCTTTGCTGTGCCATGCTCTCCCCCACGATGGTTCCAGTTCTTTCTGTGTCAGCAACCACCGCTACCCTTTGTCTCTGGCTCCTAGAGAGAAATAATTCCTGTGGCATTCATTCACTCATTCAACAAAACATTTGCGCCCCTAACCATGTGCCAGGCATGGTTTCTGAGTTCTGGAAACAGTCATGAATAAGATACTGTGCTCTCATGATTCTTGCGTTCTGATCGGCTCTTAGGCAGAGGAAATCTTTACGTTAATGGACATAACTTCATAACATGTAAAGAGCTGTGCTTGTTCTGTGAGATAGTTAAGGAGGCAAATAATGGAGTGTGATTGGGAGGAAGAGCTGCTCTGTACTGCATTCAAGAAAGGCCTCCGCAGAAGTGACATTCTCACAGACACCTGAAGAATCATGGGGCAGTCATGCAAAGGTGAGGTGCATGATCCCTGCCTGGGGAAACAGTGAGTGCGGCAGCTCTGAGGGGAGGGGTGACTGCCTGTGTCAAAGGAACAGAGAGAAGGCCACTTCAGTGGCTAGCAGGTAGTGAAGAAAAGATGGAATTAGGGTGTAGGAATTTTTGTAAGCTTTTATAAAGACAGATAAGTTTGTATTGTATTTATATTCTAGGGGCACCTGGGTGGCCCAGTGGGTTAAGTGTCCGGCTTTGGCTCAGGTCATGATCTCATTGTTTGTGGGTTCGAGCCTCGCGTCGAGCTCTGTGCTGACAGCTAGCTCAGAGCCTGGAGCCTGCTTCAGATTCTGTGTCTCCCTCTCTCTCTGACCCTCCCCTGCTCATGCTGTCTCTCTCTCTCTCCGAAATAAATAAAACATTTTAAAAAATTCTATTCTGCTAAGCCATCTGGCTCCATTTTCTACAATATTCCCCACCTCTTTCTAGAATATTCCCAAGATCACAATTATTTTTTTAATTGTTTAAAAGGCTCATAAGCTACGTCTTTTACCAAAGAGCGTGCGGTGCTCACCTTAAGTAACCCAATAACCTGGCTGAATGTTTAACATTAAAGGTGTTATTTAACCTACCTCCCCACTTGTACATTTTGCTTCTCTTCCTCTTATATCTATGGATTTGTTTTCATCACTATCAGAAAACTATAGTTCAATTTTGAAATCTTACCATCATATTTTGGTTGGTTTAAAAACATTTTTTTATGTTTATTTATTTTGAGAGAGAGAGAGAACATGTGTGTGCATGCAAGCAGGGAAGGGACAGAGAGAGGGAGAGTGGAATCCTAAGCAGACTCCACACTATCAGCACAGAGCCTGACATGGGGCTTGATCTCATGAACCGTGAGATCATGACCTGAGCTGATACCAAGAGTCAGATGCTCAACCGACTGAGCTGCCCAGATGATCCTCATATTTTGTTTGTTAATCCACATCAGCTGTAGTGCTTAATACTTGGATATTCCTCAGTTCTACTCCTTCTGTCTCTCTCCACCCCCTTTTTGTCCAGGACACCATTCATCACATGTAAGCACTCTTCACTTGGACTTCAGCCTCTTGGTTTTGAGCCCAGCCTTACCAAAGCTGCTTAGCCTCCACTCTAAGTAAAACTTCGTTCCCGTCAACATGTTATTATAGGGAATGATATGTGTAAATATTAGATTTGGTTGTCATGGAAAACCTTAGTATAACACTGACTTTATAAGCTGTAAGTTTTTTCTCATCTTCAGGAAGTGTAGACTGCCAATTCAGAGCTCATAGGACATCACACAGTGCATGTGACTTCATTGGTAAGATCAGCTCCTAGTTCAAGACAGCTGCTATGGAGTCCATGCTTACATCTGTAGGCCAAACCAATCAGAAAGCAAAATAAGGGTGGAAGAAGGCCATGTGTTTTTTTTTCTTTTAAACAACTTAGGATAGCCTTATTTATTTATTTATTTATTTTTAATGTTTTATTTATTTCTGAGAGAGAGAGAGCATGAGCAAGGGAGGGTCAGAGAGAGAGGGAGACACAGAATCTGAAGCAGGCTCCAGGCTCTGAGCAGGCTGTCAATACAGAGCCCAACGCGGGGCTTGAACCCATGAACCGTGAGATCATGACCTGAGCCGAAGTTGGATGCTTAACCGACTGAGCCACCCAGGCGCCCCCATGTGTCTTTTTTTTTTTTAATGTTTATTTTTGAGAGAGAGAGAATGTGCAAGTGGGGTAGGGTCAGAGAGAGAGAGGGACAGAGGAGTTGAAGCAGGCTCTGTGCTGACAGAGAACCCAATGTGGGGCTCAAACTCATGAACTGTGAGATCCTGACTTGAGCCGAAGTCAGACGCTTGAATGTCTGAGCCACCCAGGTTTTTAAAAATATATATTTATTTAATTATGCTCCACGCCAAATGTGGGGACTGAATTCATGACCCTGAAATTAAGAGTTGACCCTGAGGTCAAGAGTCATCTGCTCTACCAAATGAGCCAGCCACGTGCTCCCATGTACCTTTCTTTAAGGATACCTCCTCAGGGTGCCTGGGTGGCTCAGTGGGTTGGGCGTCCAACTTCAGCTCAGGTCATGATCTCTTGGTTCATGAGTTCGATCCCCGCGTCGGCCTCTGTGCTGACTGCTAGCTCAGAGCCTAGAGCCTGTTTCAGATTCTGTGTCTTCCTCTCTCTGATCCTCCCCTGCTCACGCTGTCTCTCTCTCTCTCTCTCTCTCTCAGAAATAAATAAAACATTTTAAAAAATTAAAAAAAAATGTTACCTCCTCAAAGCTCCATACACCACCTCGACTTACAGTACATGGGCCAGAACTGAACCACATGGCCACTCCCAGCTATCAGATGGTGTTTATTCTGGGTGCTCATGAGTGTTAGCTTGGACATCCCTAGAGGCTAGGCCCTGAGATGAAGGAGGATTCCCGTGAAAATGATTTTTTTTAAAGTGTTCCCACTAAGAAATGGAAGGGGCATGGGGGGGAGGGGCGGCATGGGTAGGTAAGTGGAATGAGGAAAGGAAGCCAAGCAAGGAAGTAACAATAAGCAAAGCTTCAAGCCTACAGACTGGTGGAAACGCAGTCTAGTCACATCTCAGAGCTGTCACAACACAGGTAGGGGACCTACGTCATGTTACCTACTACTAAACAAGGTTGTTTCAGCTCTCTGGGCACACACGCGGTGTGGGCTCTGGCAGCTTGCAGGCGGTCGTCTGCCGGACAGAAATGGGTGCTGGCTGTTGGGAGCAAAGGCACCCCAGGAAGAAGGGTGCACTGAAGTGGTAATGGGATGAAAGGATCAGCAGGGGGCCCTGGCACCTTCTGCTATAGCATCTATCCAGGCACAAATCAGGGTCCGATAACCTCGCACGAAGGGGAGAACAGACTTTGAGGAACAATTAGCAGTTACTGCTAAGGTGAGGCAACAGCAAAAGCAAGATGTAGCCTTTTGGGGGAAGAAGGAGAACTGATACAGGAATGAGCAGAGATAAGGAAAGGAAATAAGAAAGTTAAATACAAATAGTTAAAGAGAAGCACACCTAATAGCAAACACGAAACTAAAGAAATAATTATCTTGGAAGGTATGGGTAAGATGTGGACTGAAATCAGGAAGGTCTCTGAAAATAGCAGATTTCCCAGAGAGGAGGCATTCATCAGTTAAAAAACAAAGCAAAACAAAAAAACAAAAAGCTTTTAAAAACTAGCAGAACTAAAAGACACGGTTTTTGAAAGGGTTTGTTGCCAAATGCCCAGTATAATGAATGAAACTACA